ACCTGGGTTTGATCCCTGGCACCCCATATGGTCTGCTGAGCAACGCTAGGAGTAATTCCTGAGTCCAGAGCCAGGAATAAGCCCTGAACATAGCCAGGTATGGTCAGAAACTGTCACTGTCACTGTCCTCCCATTGTTCATCAATTTGCTCAAGCGGGCCCAGTAACGTTTCCATTGGAGACTTTGTTGTTACTGTGTTTGGCATATCGAATACATCACGGGTCACTTGCCAGGCTTTGCCGTGCGGGCGAGATACTCTCGGTAGCTTGCCGGGCTCTCCGAGAGGGGCGGAGGAATCAAACTCAGGTTGGCCATGTTGGCTGCGTGCAAGGCAAATGCCCTACCGCTATGCTATCGCTCCAGCCCATGGTCAGAAAACAACAACAAAAGACAAGTTAGGCTCCAAAGAGATAGTGCAAAGGGTAAAGCACTTGCCTTGCACCTGGCTGACCCGGATTCTACACCTGTCAACCCAAAGGGTCCCTCATGCACTCCCTCCATCACTCAGGAGCGATCCCTAAGTGCAGAGCCAGGAGTAAGCCCCGATCACCCATGGGTGTGGTCCCTCACAAAAATGTAGATTAACAGTAATGATAGGGAGGAGAGGGCTGGGAGTGGGGCAGGGGGAGAGGTTGAACTAGAAGTGACACAAGGGTAGTGGTGGAAGTCTTGGATCCTGGTGAAGATCCTGGTGAAGTGTATAACTTTGTACATCAAAATCATAAACATTGGCACTATTGTAAGCACATCATCCAGACTGCAGCACTGTAGCACTGTCCTCCCATTGTTCATCGATTTGCCCGAGCGGGCCCAATAACATTGTGAGACTTGTTACTGTGTTTGACATATCGAATATGTCACCGGTAGCTTGCCAGGCTTTGCCGTGCAGGCGAGATACTCTCGGTAGCTTGCTGGGCTCTCCGAGAGGGGCGGAAGAATTGAAACTGGCTCAGCCAGGCTGGCCGCGCGCAAGGCAAACGCCCTACCCGCCGTGCTATCGCTCCAGCCTATAAGTTCAAAAATGGAAAATAAAACATTTGAAAAATATTATGCTGTAACTATTAATCAGTGGAGGGATCCCAGCACTCAACAGCAGCAGCAACCCTCAAAACGAAAGACAATAAGGGGGCTGCAGAGTAATACACTGGGTTTGCTTTGCATGCATCTGACACACAACTAGGAGTGATCCTTGAATGGAGAACCAGGAGAAAGGTGGTCACTGGAGCACTTCCTGATATGGCCAAACCCCCTCTCAAACAAGAATAGAGAGAAAGTCAACCAGGAATCCAGTTATTGTGTGCCTGCTGAAATAGTCACAAAGGAAGTAATCTTGACAATAAATCTAAATCTGAGAGATCTAGAGTCTATTTGCAAGAAATAAACAAAAACACACAGTGGTAGAATAAGTCAGAGGGGAAATGTTACACAACTTAATAACAAGGTAACTTCAACAACTACATTTCAAGTGAGGAAGGAGGGAGAGAAAAAAACAAGGATAGGGAGGAAGGAGAAAGAAGAAAGGTGGGGAGGGTCAAGAAGGACGGAGAAGAAGAATGAACTGAAGGAGAACAGTCTACAATACAAACATTTATTTTAAATTATAGGTAGATGACCAAAGTGATAGCAGGTGGGTAGGGTTTGCATTGCACACGATTGGCCCTGGTTCGATCCCCAGCACCCCCTGAGGGTCCCCTGAGCACCACCAGGCCTGATCCCTCAGTGCAGAGCCAGGAGTAAGGCTTGAGCACCACTGGATATGGCTCAGAAACAAAGAAAAAATTATAGTAAGTATAGTTGGCCCATGGAGCAATGGCAAAGACAACAGCTTCCACAGGAATGAACAGACGGAAGCAACTGTATATCCAAGAGAAAGGTTCAGTCTCTCCTAAGCACCCACTTCTGCAAAACCGGGATAAGATTACAAGTAAGAAAAAGGGTAAGAGAAGTGTGGAAAAAAATACCACTCCAGGGGCTGGAGTGATAGGACAGTAGGTGGGGTGCTTGCTTTGCATGTGGCCGACTCAGGTTTGATCCCTGGCATCCCATATAGCCCCCAAGCACTGCCAGGAGTAATTCCTAAGTCCAGGAGTAACCCCTGAGGGTCACTGGGTGTGAGTCCACCAAAAATATTTGAAGATTAATTCAGAAATTAAAAAAAACTAAAGAAAGAAAATACTATTACAAACTCATGGCTAGCTAAAGGTCAGGGAAACCTTAAAATTCAGCATTGTCCTAGAACTTTCACTATATTCTCCTCCAGTTTATTGTTTCTGTTCAGGGGTAATAGTAACCCCTGGCGATGGCAATGCTCCAGGGTTACTCCTGGCTCTGCACTCAGGAAAGATTCCTGATGGTGCTTAGGGGATCGTATAGGATGACGAGGATCAAACCCAGGTAGACAGCCTGTAAGACAAGCACCTTATCTGCTGTACCATCTCTCCAGCCCCCTCTCCTGCAGTTTAACTTTCCTTTTGTTCTATTTTAATTTTTATGGCCACACCCAGTGGTGCTCGGAGCTGCTCTTGGCTCTGTGCTCAAGGGTCACTCCTGGTGATGCCCCAAGGTCCATCCTACTGCAGAGATATAATGGCATGAAAACATGTGCTCCAGTCACTGAGCTAACTTTTGAAAGGAGCTAGGAAGGCTAGGAAGGAGTTAATTAACTTGCAAAATTGCTTTTTGTAAACAAGTTCAGTAGCCTTGTGGTTACAAAATTGGATTGAATCCAGTAGATGTGTAAGGTATGGGTTAGACATAACTATTTAAAGATAGATAGAGTGTTTTGACCATTCTGGAAACTGAAACTATGTGACCGGGTCAAGATGTTTGGGTCGAGATACTGCAAGAAAAACCGTAAGGAACCTAGCAAAACATGTATGTGAAAAATATGTGGTCTTTGTTCTCAAACTGTATAAAAGATGACCTGTTTCTCAGTTCGAGGCTCTCAGCCTCTGCCCGCTCTTGGGTATGTTACAGAGCCCCAGCATGCTGGTCTGAATAAAACCCCGCTTGAATTCCTGCAGGAACGTTGTCTGTCTGGTCTCTCCGTGCCTCCCAGGGCTAGGGAACTCCCGACCCCAACACTTTCAGGCTCTTCCAGTTTATATTTATGAACAGGTCTCTTTTTGTCTGGTTGTTTTGGGCCACACCTGCTGTACTCAGGGTTTACCCCTGACTTTGTGCTCAGGGATCACTCCCAGTGGTGCTTGGGGAACAGTGTATGCAGTTGACCAGGATGGAACTAAAGTCTGCTGCAGGCAGAGCCAGAACCCTGTACCAGATCCAAGCGTACTTCATTAAAAGAAAAAAAAAAGACAGTTATCTTCTTTTATCAGTTTCTCCTCGAGAAACAGGGTTTCCTTTTATTGAGATGTGATTCACAGACTGTCAGTTTCACCTTAAAGTGTGCAATTCCATGGTTTCCATTGCAGTGACCAAGCTATGCAATCATAATCCTGAACTTTTCCATCACATAAAAAGAAACCACTCCCCCTTCCCCTCCCTTCAGTCCAGGAACATTCATCTTTTTTTTTTTTTGCTTGTTTTGTTTTGAGGCTATAGGCTGTAGCTGGTGGTGCTCAGGGTTTCTCCTGGCTCTGCACTCAAAAATCACTCCTGGCGGTGCCCAGCGGACCATATGGGATGCGAGGAATCAAATCTGCAGCGTGCCAGCCTGAGCACCACTGGGTGTGGCCCTAAATTGTACCTGCTGTACAATTTCTCCAGCTCCCCTTTATCTAGTTCAGATGCAACATATAAATGGAATTCTATTTTGTGTGTGTGTGTCCAGCAGTGCTCAGGGATCATGCCTGGCAGTGCTCAGGGAACCATAGGTGGCGGGGTATGAACCTAGGTCGGCCATGAGCAAGGCGAACACTCTACCAGCGTTGTGCTATTCCTCTGGTCTCAGTGGAATTCAGATTTCTTTTCCCTTAGCACGAGGCTTTTCAGGTTACGGTACACAGGAGTACCTCATTCCTTTTTCTGAATGGGGAGCAGTCTCTGGTACCGATACGTCGCATTTGTCATCTATTCTGTCACTATGTGGCTGGTTCCGCTTGGGACCAGGGTGAATACATCAGGTCGAAATAGTAGACACCTCTAGGTCATCTCTGTGTATCTTGGAGTGGTACTGCTAAAAGTAGGGGGCTGTGCTTTCGGGGGAAACGCCAGTCTTCTTCCACAGCGGCCCCTCTCCAGGCCCCCAGCCGCAACGGGACCGGCTGGGATTTGCTCACAGCCTCGCCGAGAACTCGACTCAGCCCCCGATCCCGCCAGGGCTGCCCAGTCACGTCAGTGCTGCGTGCAGAGGGAGAAACCCCCAAACTGGAAAAGATTAGGCTGCCGAGGTTCCTTTTTTTTTTCTTTTTGGGTCACACCTGGTGATGCACAGGGGCTACTCCTGGCTCTGCACTCAGGAATTACTCCTGGCGGTGCTCAGGGGACCATATGGGATGCTGGGAATTGAACTCGGGTTTGGCGCGTGCAAGGCAAACGCCCTACCCGCTGTGTTATTTCTCCAGTCCCCGAGGTTCCTTTCCGGGCATTATTTATTCGTTCCTGGAGTTCACTCCGCTGCCAACGCCCCGCTCCCACCAAACGCTTTCGTCGGAATAACCAAGCCGGCTAACACACCCGGATCCCGAGCGGAGAACGACCCGGAGCGGCTGCAGGGGGAGCGGCCGAAGGCCACTGCGCGTAGGAGTGGCCTGCACCGCACGGCCTGCACCGACCCGGAGAAGCCCCCGGCCACCGGGTGTAGACCAACCAACCCAAAGCCATATCAGGGGCGTGATCCCACGGGCTCGTTCGGAGAGAAGCGGCCCAAACTACACGACACCCACTCACTGCCCCACTAGGGAGCGGTGCGAGACCAAGGAGCGACGACGCGCAAGCGCACAGGGCCCCCGACGACCCGCCCTCCCGCTAACCAATCCGCGCGCGCCTCGGGGGAGCGGCGTTCTGCAATTTGCAGGTTCACTTTAGTGGCGTAGCCACGCTCCAATCCGCACCTGGGGGCGGGCTGCAGCCCGCGGGGAGCACGTGACCTGGGCTGGAGCCGGAAGCTACCTCTCCAGCAGGCAGCGCCCCCCATCACCTAAGGCTGCGATGGTGAGTGAGGACGCATGCGCGGGCTGACCCGGGGCTCCCCGGCCCCTAATCTCTTTGCTGCCCCCCCCCCCCAGTTCTGGACCTGCACTCGGGCCTCTCATTGCCAGTCCCTCCCGGGACAGAGAGGGAGTGATGTCAAGGGTGGCGAGGGCGAGGGTTCAGGAGCGATCTTCTGGGTGTACCCGGGCCCGGGGGTCGTCTGCGGGGGCGGGGCGAGAAGGGGCCCCACGGAAATGGAGCCTTTTCAGGGAGCGGCCAAAGGGCGACACCGGCGGGGTGGGACGCAGGAAGGGGACGTACAGACCCTGAGATGGGAAGAGAGTCTGGAAGGGCCCTGGGCGGGCGTGGGTGACTGGGGCTTGGGGTCCGTTCCTGGGGTAGGTGACACTCGGACCATTTCGCAGCCTGCTCTCACTGCACCATCTTTCCCTGTAGACGTCTGCACTGACCCAGGGACTGGAGCGAATCCCAGACCAGCTGGGCTACCTGGTGCTGAGCGAAGGCGCAGTGCTGGCGGTGCGTTCAGGGTTCGGGAGCCCCTTCCCCGACTACACTTGGGCTGGTAGTACCTGCTCATATTTCCCGGGTGATCTTCCTTTATTAGGTCTCTATTCTGCCTCTGCTGGGATTGTGCCTGGCATTTAGTATGGTTTCAGGATTCAGGTAAATCCCCGGAATCTCAAAGATGGAAGGCGAAAGAGGAACTTCACTTAAACTTACCCATCTAGATTTCTTTCTTTATTCCTTTCTTTTCTTCTCTCTCTCTCTCTCTCCCCCCCTCCCTCCCTCCTCTCCTCCCCTTTCTTTCTGCCACACCTTGCAGTCCTCAGGATTTACTCCTGACTCTGCACTAAGGGATCTCCCCTGGTGGTACTCAGGGGACCATATAGGATGCCAGGAATCAGACTTGGGTAGGCCATGTGCAAGGCAAAAATGCCTTATCTGCTGTACTGCTCTGACCATAGTTAACATGTTTCTTGAAAGGGGATAGTTTCTGAAGGTTGTTTTGTGTGTGTGTGTGTGTGTGTGTGTGTGGTTTTTTTTTTTTTAATGTCTTTATTTGGGATTTCCTAAAAAGCCTCTATCTTTTGTGCCATAGAACAATAAAATGCTCGCTTCACAGATTTTGAATTTAAAGGTGACTGGGCTTATGGTTAAAAGTTGAAAGATGTGTCTGGCAAAATCTGCTAGAGGGGATCAAAACAGGGCTGCATCCTTCATTCTGGGCTATGACTTGTGTCAGGACAAGGAAACTTTCTTGGAGGTAAGAATTCAGCTGGGTGTAAAGGACTGGAAGAGCGGGGAGTGATGCTCATGTATCAGGCATGCAACCAGGGTAAAGCTATGTACAAAGCGAGCACCTTACTACCTGTATTCCCTCTTCAGCCCCCCAAAAGAGCATTCTGGACAAAGAGTGGTATTTGCACGAGGGTGACATGGGCCTTTGTGAATGTCTACATTTGTGTTGTCAAGGTTTGGAAAAGTTGGAGAAAGATAGAAAACTTGATAGTAAGCAAAGATAGGACTGTGGGGCCAAAAGAGAGAGTACAGGGATTAAGGTACTTGCAAGGTACTTGCCTTGCAAGCAGCCAACTCCAGATCGATCCCCAGCACCACTGGTAGGACCTGTCAAACCTCCCCCCACAGTTTAATATGGAGCCCGCTGTGGAAGGCTTTAAAAGTCATGTTAACAGGAAGTACTTTTTTTTTTTTTTTTTGCTTTTGGGGTGACACCCAGCAATGCTCAGGGCTTACTCCTGGCTGTGCACTCGGGAATTACTCCTGGCGATGCTCAAGGGATCATATGAATCTGCCAGGGATTGAACTCAGATCTCCCGTGTGTAATACAAACACCCTTCCCACTGTACTATAGCTCTGGCCAACATGAACTAATCTTGAGGCTAAAGGGGGCTTTGGAGACAGTATAACCTGATGAAGTAGCCGAGTAAGCAGGCTCTGAGAGGTGTGAAGGGGGGCCCCAACGGACAGGACAAAGCTAGCTGCTACTGAAATCTAGTGGGCCCATAGCAGTGAGGAGCAAGGACAGGATTGTGACTGGAGAGTGGAAGCTGGAAGCGGAAAATAGAATGAAACTGGGGAGAGAAGTCGGAGCTGTCCTTTGATGGCTTGACTGTTGAGAGTACCGAGTTTGCTAGAGAATGGGAGCAGTCAGATAGTGCGCTGGGTGAGGTGTGAGCCTTGAATGCGGCCAATCCAGCTGCAACACTGGCATCTCCTGTGGTCTCCTGAGCACAGAGGCAGGTGTAAGCCCTGAACACCGCTGAGTATGGCCCAAAGCCAATAACAACATGAAAATAAGCAGTCAGGATGCTTTACTGGAAGCTGTTCAAAAAAGCGCTTCAGGGCTGGAACAATAGCATAGCGAGTAGGGCGTTTGCCTTGCACACGGCCGACCCGGGTTCGATTCCCAGCATCCCATATGGTCCCCTGAGCACCGCCAAGGGTGATTCCTGAGTGCAGAGCCAGGAGTAACCACTGTGCATCACCAGGTGTGACCCATAAAAATAAAAAAGCGCTTCAGGGACTGAGCAATAGGATAGCAGGGACAGTGTTGGCCTTGCATGTGAGCCACCCAGGTTTGATCCTCGGCATCCTTGATGGTCCTCCAAGCCCACCAGGAGTGTTTCCCTGAGCACAGAGCTAGGAAGAACCCTCAAGCATGACTGGGTGTGGCCCCAAAACCAAACAAACAGAAGCCCTTTGCAATACTTTCACAGAGTTCTCACAGCAAGCCCCAGAGCTGGGTACCCTGGCTCTTGGACAAATGAAGAAGGGGCACAAACTGCACAGAAGGGAGGCCCACAGTGGGGAGGCCCAGCTGGAGGCAGGAAGGGGAAGCCCGGGCCACTCCCAACAATACCCCTGGCTCTCAAGGAAGGGCTCAAGATAAAGCCAAAGCTGTTTCCGATTGGAGCAAGTGGGGAGATGGGGAAATTGGGGAAAGAATCACTGAACAATTAGTGGGGTGGGCGCTGCCCGTGGAGGACATGGGTTCATCCAGTCCAGGGAGATGGAGAGAGGACTAACTTCTAGGGACCAGGAAAGACTGTCAGGATGAGATGGGGCGGCTTCCAAGGAGCCGGAGAGAGAACAGCGGGGAGGGTGCTTCACCTTGCATGCTGTTGGTCCAGTTTTGAACCCTGGCTTCCCATATGGTTTCCTGAGGCCCGCCAGGAGTGATCCCTGAATGCAGAACCAGGGCTGAATCCCAAGATGAAAGTAAAATGTTTTTGAATGTTTTGCCCCCCCCCCCAAAAAAAAAATCAATGAAGAGTTACAGATTGTTTCTAAACACAGAACACAGGCTGTACGCAGGGGAGGGGGCGGGGGTTACAAAAGCCAGGGCCAGAGGGCCTGTTCTGGGATCCTTTCCCAACCCTGTACCCCAATTTCCCCCCTGCAGTCGTCTGGAGACCTGGAAAATGACGAGCAGGCGGCCAGCGCCATCTCGGAGCTAGTCAGCACGGCCTGTGGGTTCCGGCTGCACCATGGCATGAATGTCCCCTTCAAGCGTCTGTCTGGTGAGCCCCTGCAGTCCGGGGGGTGGGGGGCTGCTCCCCATCCCCACACTCAGCACCCGCTCGTCTTCTTTCGGTCAGGCGGAGGAAGGGGGCCAGTCGCCACCTGTGTGGCCTCGGCTTACCCGCCCCCCCACCACCAACCTCCTTCCAGTGGTCTTTGGGGAGCACACGCTGCTGGTGACTGTGTCGGGCCAGAGGGTCTTTGTGGTGAAGAGGCAGAACCGAGGCCGCGAGCCGATTGACGTGTGAGCCCCAGGGGCAAGGGCACAGGCCATCGGAGGGGGCTCCACGTCTGAAGACTGACACCCCACCTTCCTGCACCCTCCACAGCATTCTGCGCTCCCAGCCCATCCTTACTGAGCAGAACTGAGGTGTGGAGACTTTGTGCTGGGGGGGGCGAAGGGGTTCCCCCTCTTCGTTCCCTCCCTTGTAATAAACATGACCCAATGTGCTCAGGCCCAGAGATGTGTTGTATTGGGGAGGGATCACCCCATGTCTGCGTTTCGCCTGCCGGAGGAGTGGGACAAGGCCACATCCAGTCATCTAAGCTGACTCCTCAAGGGCATGTGGAGGGGCTCCCTGGGAGGCCCTGGGCCCCGCTTCCACCACCAACACACAAACATCAGCCCTCTGGCTCCTGAACAGGCTTTAATGATCCGGTGTGGGGTGAAGCAGTCGCTGGAGAATAAGTTACAGGAACAAACGGACGAGGAAAAAGAACAAAACCCACAACTTAAAGTGCTTCAGGCTACAAACGTAAACATGAGGGGGCCCCCCCTGCTCCCCCCACTGCCCTGAGACAGGACGGCCACTGCTGGGGGTCCCCTCACCGGCTCACCACCCCCTGCTCTCGGCCCCGCGGCAGGAATGTCAGAGGCGGGAAAGGCGAGGGACGTACTTTGTAAACTTAAGAGTTGGGGAAAGGCGGGGGTGTGGGGGCTCCCGGAGCCCCTGCCCTGGCCGAGGGGTGGGGCCAGCCCCCCCCTCCCAAAAAGTTGGGGAAATACTGTTGGCCTAGTGGGCAGCACACTGGAGTGCGTGATTCACAGCTTCGTCCCTCGCCCTCAGCAGCAGACACAGACAGACAGCCACGGGCAGCCTCTGCATCCCTCCCTTGTCCCCCACCCCCACCCCCACCAGAACAAGGAGCCCGGGGTGGGTGGGGGGTGTATTACATCTCTGGCAGTGCCGACGGGGCCGGCAGTTCTACTTGACGGGCTCCACCACCAGGACCTTGCACTCGCGCTTGGCAATCTTGTCCAGAGAAAGCACGGCCTTGTCCGGGGGTAGGTAGAGGGGGCGGCCCACGGGCGAGGCCACGGGCGGCGTGATGGCCCGGCGCTCCATGACGCTGCCCGACCTGAGGGATAGCAAGAGGTGGTGGCTGAGGCCCCACGAACAGCCCATCCCCCACCCCCCCACAGCCCAGCCCTACCTCATGAGGTGGCTGCGGGACGGCTGCTGGTGGGAGAAGGACTGGGAGCGGCCCAGGCTGGCCTGGTGCCTGTCCACCAGGTCGCGGACCGCAGGGCTGCTGGGGCTGCTCTTGCGCGACAGGGGCCGGGCCTCGGGGGGCGGATGGGACACGCTGGCCGTGAACTGCAGCTTCAGCTTCATGTGCTGGCTCAGCTGGGGGGGGGGGGGGGGGGGTACAGTCAGCGCTTGCATCCTCCCGCTGGGCAGGGGGCAGGTCCCCCAATCTCGCCCCACGCCCCGGCACCCACCTCGAAGAGCCCGGCCCGCAGAGCCCGGAAGGCCACACTGACGGTCAGTGCACTGCCCTTCCGGGAGAAGCCCAGGTTGCTGAGGGGCGTGTGGCACACCACGGCATCCAGGGCCGCCTGCATGGCGCGGCGCTCCTCCTCACTCAGCTGCTTCCCTGTGGCACAAGCGGCACCCTCACACCCCCACTCACAGCCCTGGCACCACCAGGACATCGGCCCCCGAGGTTCTGAGCAGGGTTCTGGGCAGGACCAGGATCACCCAAGGGGCCCCCACACCACCAGGCCAAATACCAACAGGAGTGACCCTCAAGTCCTCCTGAGCACTGCTTGGGAGACCCCTGCCGAGGAAAGCCTAGGATGTGACCATTTGCCAAATTTCAGCAAGAACGGCACGGCACGAGTGTGCTCGGTTAGAGTTCAGATCTCTCTACTCCACATTCTTTTTTTTTTTTTAGGATCACACTCGGCGATGCTCAGGTGTTACTCCTGGTTTTGCACTCAGAAATCACTCCTAGTGGTGCTCAGGGGACCATATGGGATACTGGGAATCGAACCCGGGTTGGCCGCTTGCAAGGCAAATGCCCTCCCCATTGTGCTACTGCTCCAGTCCCACCACTCCACATTCTATTAGCTCATTAACGGCTAGAAGAATTGATGACTTTCAGGACTTTGAGGCTCGGAGAGGTTAAGTGACTTTCTCTAGGTCACACAGGGAAGGGAGCACTCCAGCCTCTCCTGCTCTGCAGATGGCCCTAGCCTACGGCCTCTTAGCTCCGTGAGACTGTGGCGAGCCCACAGCCCTGTAGCCTGCCACAGAAGCCTGCCACCATAGCAGCCCCCTCCCCTTCTCTCCTGCAGGCGCAGGCACCCAGCCTGGCCCACCCACCAGCCTGGGCGTGCTCAGGGGTCCACACGAGCCTCACGGCCAGAAAGTCCTGGAGATTGTTGAGCAGCGTGTAGGTGACGGTGAAGCGCTCATAGGTCCGGACAGGCGACTCACAGGAAGCGGTCATCACAAAGCACGGGCGGTCCAGGCGGATGCTGGGCAGGCTGGAAGCGGGGAGGAAGTGGCTGATGCAGGGCTGGGAAGGAGGGGGCAGCAGGTGCCCGAGGGCGGCAGCATGCCTACCGGTAGTGGGTGTAGATGCTCTGGGTGAAGGGCAGTTTCGGAGTGGACCACTGAAGCACAGCAATCAGGGGCACTTCCAGGCCCTGCAGGACAGGGCCAGAGGAAACATCAGTGAAGGGCAGCGTCCACTCAAGGAAGACCCTGTCCCCTGCTCTCCCTCCCACTGCTTTCTCTTTTTTGGAGGGAAGAGCCCACACCCAGCAATGCTCAGGGGCTCCTCCTGGCTCGGTATTTGGGTTTCACTTCCAGTGGTACTTGGGGAAACTACGAGGTGCCAGGGATTATTAGCTCCTGGCCTCCTACATGCAAACGTGAACACCCTTCCAGCCATTTTCCTGGCCCCAAGTGCTTTTCTTTCTCCCAAAGCACTCCGGGGCCCATTATTCTCACCTCCTTGGCCCCTGGAGGGGGCTGCTCACCCCCTCTTAGCTGAAACAGGAAGTTGTGTTCCTCCAGGGCACTAAGTGGGCAGGGGAAGCGGCCAGAGGTCCCAGGGAGCCGACAGAAGGAGCCCATGGAGACGTCCCCAGATTGGTGACTAATTTGGGGGACAGGGGGGCAGAGCTCAGAGCTTGAGCTGGCCTTACCATGTCCCCCTCCAAACCCCCCTGCAGCCCTATGCCCCCAGACCTCACCAGACATTGTCCACCAGCAGCACGGAGCCGTCGGGCATGACGGGGAGGTAACTGGCATTGAAGTTGGGCAGGATGCGGACGTCCCAGATGGAGATCTCCTCCTGGGAGGAGCTGTTCAGCACTGTCGTGGGGAGCCAGCTCAGTACTTGGCCCCTCACATCCCACGGCCCCCCCACCAGCCCACCCAGAGAAACTGCTCCCTCATCCCCAAGCCAGACCAGATCTGCTCACCCTTGAGTACGGTCAAGTGTTTCCCGGCCACAGTGAACTGTCGGCATTTCAGAACGGGAGGCGGCAGCAGCGTCAGCAGGGTGCTCACTGCAAAAGGGGGCATGCGTGACCCCTCTGCCACCCCCAGCACCCCCTTCCCTCCGGGGCCTCCACCCTACATCCACAGGGCCCCTCCCCACCTTGGGCCTTGAAAGCGCTCTGCTCCCCCCGGAAGGTCTCCCCGGGAGAGCGGGTCTGCAGCAGGCGCAGGTAGCCTTGGTCTCTGACCTCTGGTGCCTCGACCTCCCGCTTCCACACCGTCACGACGATCTGAGCACAGACCCGCGGGACCCTGGTTACACGGGGGTGGCTAGGCACGCCGCCCCCAGCCCCATCCCTGGCTGGGCTTACCTTGGCCTTGGGCGTCCCGGGGGGCAACCTGTCCAGGGAAACGGTGAGTGGGAAAATGACCTCGTCCGGGGACACGATTGGCTCCTCCACCGGCAGCTGCAGTTGCAAAAGGGGGTGAAGGGTCTGCGGCGCGGCCCCCGCCTCCCGCGGTCATCCTCCCGCCGCGGCCAGGCGCCCCCCCGAACTCCTCACCGTGCTCGCTGACCCCGAGTGGGCCGGGCCGGGGCCGTGGGTGAGCAGGGGGCTGCACCCGCGAAACAACGCGCCCCCGCCGGGGTCCCCAGCCCCGGCGGGCTCGGCCTCGGGCTCGCCGGCGCCGCCCGCGCTGACCGAAGCCAGGGCGGCCAGGGCGCTGGCCAGCTCGGCCCAGGCCCCGCGGGCGCCCAGGTCGGCGCCGGCGCCGCCGCGGCAGCGCAGCACCAGCAGGAAGCGAACCGTCTCGCCCAGGTAGAGGTGGTTCCGCCGCGGCAGCGCCCGGTACCGGCCCGGGTCGCCCGCCAGCTCGGCGCGCGGCGGCAGCGGCACGGCCGGGAAGTACATGGCGTAGTCGCACTGGGACTCCATGGGGGGCGCTCGGGCCGCTGGGCCGGCCAGCGCCGACCCCACAGGCCCGCGGGGGCCGGGAACCCGGGCGGCGCACCCGGAACCGAGACCCCCCGGGGCCGGAACCCGGGCGCGGGCCGAATGACTGGGGAGCGACCGGAAGCGGAAGGGGCGTGGCCTCGGCAGCCCCAGGATTTTCGGGGGGCGGGGGGGGGGCGCGGCCCGAGAGGGCTTGCTTGGACGGCCGCCCGGGGGATAGAGATGGAGAGAACCACCCTCCGGCCCGCCTCCTCGCCGCTCCGCCCCGCCCAAGGAGCGTCAGGGACTGGTTCAGGTTATTTATTCATTCAACCGACACGCACAGGCATCCCAGCGACAGAAGGGGCACACCGGTGCAACCCATTGAACCCCCGAAGGGTCTTTGCCTCACCGCCGTTAGCTCTTCCGGGGGCCTGTTAAGGCACCCAGAGCAGCCCCGGGGCTGGACGGCGCGGGAGGGGCGCCTGGAACCCGCCCCCTCCTCCCCCCCAGTCCCAGCAGTTGGAGGCTGGCCGGGCAACGGCCGCGGCAGGGAGCAGGCGCTCTTTCCGAATGAAGCAGGGACGCCCGCACCCACCCCAGCAGCTTCCAGCTCGTCTGCAATTAGACATCTGATGCCTATGGAGAAAGGATCCTGGAGGTCTTGAGGGGCAGAGACACCGTCGGTGGGAACTGCTTGGCGTCCAGTTTGTCCTTGTACTGTAGCTCAGGCGTCACCAGGCGCTCGCACTCCTCCCGGTCCGGGAGGCTCAGTCCGTCCCTAAGTACATATCCTAGCACCTTTCCCGACCCAAACTGGAAAGGGCGGAACCGTTTGTCAGTGATGTATTCGGGGTCTAAGGCCTCACCCCCGACCAGACAGTGTTTGGCCAGGGCCTCACGGCGGGCCCTGAGCTCGGCCACTGCGTTCTGCAGCCGGCTCTGGCCGTATTGCTTGATGCGGGTCCAGAGACTGTGGTTGAAGTGAACGTAGAGGGCCCAGTCCAGGTTGTTCCAAGCTCGGGCCCGGGTGCTCAGCTGCCTGTCCTCAGCCGTTAGCCCGCCGTCCCCCGTGTCCCCCAGGCCCTGCTGACCTCGAGCTTGGGCATTATGCATGAAGCCCACCACGTCGTCTAGACCCCAGCACAGGGCATCGGCAAGCAGAACCAATGACTCATCAAAGTACTCGGCTACCAAGACCAGGTCAAAGACCGAATCCAGCCAATCCAGACTCCACTGGATGAAAGACGAGGACCCTAGGCCAAAGGAGGTGTAGCTGGGACCTTGAGCCACCGTGGGGGCCGCATGGAGCAGAGCATCAGCATCTGGGCTGTGGGCTCGGGGGTCACTGCCAGAGGGCAAGATACGCAGCTGTGCGGAGTTGGGGTTCCGGGCAGGAGGAGAATTCTTCATCTCAGGGGGGAAGGGGAGGCCAAAGTCAAACCACAGCAAGTTGCGAGCGTAGTGATCCCCACGGGCCCCGGGCCGGTAGAAGGCTCGTGGGTTGGCCAGGAAGGCTGCCAGGGAGGGAGCCTTCCGGAAGGCCGAGGAGGTGGACTTGTAATAAGAAAAGGCAGAGCGGGCCAGAGCTGCCGGGTCTCGGACAATGGAAAAGAAGAAACTGTCAGAAGGCATGACCCGAAGTACCTGTAGAGAGAGAGAGAATAGACATGGGGAGAGAATGGCGCCGCCTCAAACTGGCAATTGCCCAGATCCTGCCCAGATCCTGAGCAAGTCACTCTGAATGGTTTGTGCTCTGCTGTGGTTGGATCCCCAGCACCATGTATGATCCCCTTGAGCACGGCCAGGAGCGATCCCTGAGCACAGAACCAGGAGTAGCTCCTGAGCTGGGTATTGCAAAATTAAATAAATAATGTTTCCCCTTTAAGCTCTTCTGTTCACCTTAGTCTGTAAAACCTCTGAGGAACTGATTTTGTGTCTCTTCTTCAACAAATCCCAACAAAGGATAGGGATAAGAGTGCTTACCTTGTAACTCACCAACCCTAGTTCGAATCCCTGGCACCACATAATGTCCCTGAAGCCCTGCCAAGGGTTATTACTTCTGAGCACAGAGCCAGGAATAGCGCCCAAGTACTGCTGGGTGTAGCTCAAAGCCCTACTCCCCCCCACAAAAAAAAAAAAAAACATCTGAAGGCCTAACCTGGGTCTCTGCTCCAAGAAAGAAACTAGTCTCAGGTCTCAGGCCCCAGGGGATGGCCATCTGGCACCAAGAGGCAGGAGAGCAGACTACCATGCCAGGTGCTGGCATCAGGTAGGCAAGCCCACCCCCGGGTGGCAAAGGACAGGGCACTTCTGGGATTCCTGAGTGTGTTGGAGAGCAAAAGATGTCCCTGGCTTGGGCACTGGAAACCCTCGGCAAAGTGGCATCCCGAGACCCGGGATGTAGGACCCTGCATGTCAGTGAGAAGGAAGGTGAGGACTGAGCTGAGCTGCACCCCGGGTGGTCTTTGCAGGCAGCTGGTGTCAGAGCTGACTCTGCAGCCTCCCGGAAGGCCTGCCCCTTCAGACATGAGTGGGCCTGCCTTTGAGGCAGTGTCTGGGTGCATATCCCCTGGGAAGGCAAAGCACAGTGCCAAGTCCAAGGCGTGGCTGAGCTTGGAATGAAATCCCTCCCCAGCCGCTGGTCAGCTGGGCAATGCAGGACAGGTGACTGGGCTACCAGAGTCTCCCTCCAGCTGCACCGTCTGGATCCATGCTGCCCTCAAAGAGTGTGAAGGCAGGTCACTGTCCAGCATCACCCTGACCGCCGCCATCAGGCTTCTGCTGGGGTGCCCTCACTACCCTATTCCATCACACACATGTGCCTTCATGGTTTTCTCAGTTCCAGCAGCCCAGACTGGATGCCCCCACCCCCACACAGCCCCCCACCCCCACCAATTCCTCACGCAGGCCCACATAAACACATTCAAAACCACTATCATCACTTTTTTTTTGCCACATCTGGTGATGCACCTGGGTTACTCCTGGCTCTGCACTCAGGATTCACTCTGTGCAGTGCTCGGGGGACCGTATGGAATGTCGGGGGTCAAACCCAGGTTGACCTTGTTTAAGGCAAACACCCTACCCACTGAGCTCTCTCTCCAGCCCCTAACGCCCCGTCTTGGTTGCTTTTTGCACCCCCTAAGCCTCCCAGATATTCTCCTTATTACAAAGGCACACCCAAACCCCTTTCCTTTCTAATGCACCTTTCTAGAAAGCCCTGCTCTCCTGAGTTAATATTCCAAAGACTTAGCACAGACCCATGCCCACAGCCCCTGAAGGTGCCGTGACTTTGGCACACATGGACCTAGGTACAAAGCCCAGCTTGGTAGCTTCCAGCCAGTCCCTTTGCCTCTCTGTAGGATGGAGATTCAAGGGCCTTCCTGCCGAGGCAATGTTAGAATTATTACCAGGTGCTTGCTACAAAGCACCGGCCCCTACTGGGTGTTTTTATTTGCTCAGAGTGTGTCTTCCTCCGAGAACTCAGGCTCCTGCATGTTCGAGTCAGCAGGTAGCGGCGCGCCCTGGTCTCTCCTTCTGTGCTGGGGCCAAGCCTTGGCATGCATTAAGTCTCTGGATCTGGCAAAAGTGGTAAGAGGAGGGCGCCAGATGCCAGTGGGAGGGGCCCAGAGGGCAAGGGGCACCTGGAGGAAGAGTTGGGGCAGTACACGGGACCCCAGCATCAGTGGGGGAAATTGAGGAAAGAGCCTGGATAAGCTGGGGGGTAGGAATCGGGGGGGAGGGAAGTTTGTGGTCCCCAGGCCCCAACTTTGGGTCAAACAATACTGGGGTGCCCCAGACCTGAGACCTCCCTGGTCCTAGGCCTGGGCTCATCTCCCTTGTGCCTCCCCCCACCCCCGCTTCCCTCCTTGCTCCCTCACCTCTTTCAGGTTGAACCTCATGTGATGACAGATGATGTGGAAGGGGGGCTGGTTGTCTCCATTCTGTGGGTGGTACCCTTTGACGCGGGAGGCCTGGAAGAGCCTGGGGTAGCTGAACTGGTAATGGGTGGGGAGGGCGAAACGTAGCCCGTGCCGGTCCCCGTAGCGATGGAGCAGGCTCAGCACCGAGCTGCTCCCGGATTTGTGTGTCTTCAGGAAGACCAGGTGCTGCCGGGGTGGGCAAGACAGAAGCGCGGGTCCCACGGACGGAGTCCAGGGCTTGCGGAACTGCACCTGCACCCCAGGGAGCCTGGGAAAAGACAGACAGATGGAGAGAAGTGACTGGGTCTCACCAGCAGGTGGCCAAGGGTCTTAGGGAGCAAGAACAGAGCCCCTGAGTCACACCCCTAGCTTGGGGAGTGGGGGGGGGGGGCACCAGACAGGGGCAAGTGGGACTGGGGGTGACTCTGTGGAGTCGGGAAAAGATGGGGGTCTTACCTTTTCTGAAAGGGCCCCCCCCAGAGCTGGAGCGCAAATCCAATGGTCATGAAGACACCCAGGGCCACCCCCAGGCTCCGAGGTCCCCAGAGGCGAATGGTCCTGGTTGGAGAGAGGGAGCCCATGGGGCCCGGGGGCAGCGTGATGCCAGGGAAGGCCAGGCCGGCGACTGGGGCAGAGGCAGCTGGGGGCAGCGGTGCAGCCGCAGAAGGCACGGATAGGCGATCTGGGGGCTCATTCCCCAGGCCTCCTCAGCCCTGGTAGAGTCGGCCCCCTGAGTTAGCAGATTTTTGCCGCTGTCAGCGTCTAGCTGGGAAAGGAAAAGGAAGGAGGGAGCGTCTAAGGAGAAGGGTAGAGCCTCTGAACCGCTGAGCCCCAACTCTGAGTGAGTGGAGGCCGGGGTGTGCTGGCTACACCCACTCTTCTGAGGAAGGCCCGGCGCTCCTCCTCTACTCGCTGCCAACTGGTCCCCCAAACCCCCACCTCTGCTCTCTCCTTGAACCTGGGCGGGGGGGGGCTTTGGTGGGAAGGGAGAAAGCAGAGACCCTGCGAGGCAGATCTGCAGTGGAGGAAGATAGGCAGGAGGACAGAGGTTCCTTCTTGGACTGGGAGAGGGGAGGCTGGGGGCTTGGGCTGATATGGGTCAGGCAAACAGTCAGCTGGGAGAGGTGGCAGAGAGGGGGGACCCCAAAGAGGCGGCCGGTGTCAGAAAGGAGGGGAGATGACAGAGCAGGCTTGTACCTAAGGGTATGTCACGGACTGGGACATTTTGGGTGACTTAAGGGCAGATATCCGGCTACCTCCTAGCCGTCCTCCCAGATCATTGGAAAATCTGCAGGGAAGGAGGAAGGAGGGAGGGAAACAGGGACGGAGACCCAAGAAACAGGCGGCTCCGCTTCCCTAATCCTCGGGAGTCCGGTCCACCCCTTTCAGATTCCAAGCCGGGTGGGGGAAGAAGGGGGGCCAGGGCGCAGCCAGTAGCAAGTTCTGACCAGCCCCCCTTTCGGAAGAAACTGGGAATGATCCCAGCAGAGAATCCCCCCAGGGCAATCAAAAGGCCCATCCCTCTGGCGCCGGGGGCCCCCGTCCCTCCCTTCAGCACAGCCCCCCCCCCATCCAGCCCAGTGTCGGGGGGCCACTTCTGTTCTTCCCATCCATTTGTTCCCGTCCAGCCTCCTGCTCTCGGTCCCCTGCTTTGGATGACCGCTGCCTCCCTCTGGGCTTCTCTTGATGAGCCCCCACGACTTCCCCCGCAAAAACCCAAGGGTCCCTCCAGTTGCCGAAGCCTCGGCCTCACTGGTCCACTCACCGGGCACCTGAGCTAGCCGCGGGGAAGCGGGTCTGGCTGTCCGGCCGCGCGCCTCAGCCACCGCCCGCCCCAACTTTCCCATAAACTTTCCAGCGCCCAGGCTCCGCCCACTCCCTCCCTTTGTCCCGCCAGCCTGGGCAGCTCCCCAGCGCTCGCATCCCCGCTCGGCCTCTCCCCTGCCAGGACGCCGCAGCTTTCCTTCTGCAGACCACCGCCCCCAGCAACCCTGCGCTGAGTCCCACCGTGGAGGACTGGCCCGACACCTCCGTTTCCTCCCTGGAATCGATACCTTTTCCTCTCCCGACAGAACAAAAGGTTTATTCAGGCGCCAGAAAAGAAAGAAAAGGGAAGGAGAAAGCACCAGAGTTGAAAGCAGACCTTGTCAAGGACTTGACAAAGGTGGCCAGAGGCTGGCATGGGGAACCAAGCGTGGGGGACCCAGTGGGCAAGCCCCGCCCTGGGCAGGGGCTGTGCGGGATGTTAATCAGACATAGAAAAGCCTTCAGCCAACACAGGCACAGTCTCCCAGAGTTTTGACTCGGGGGTTCTTCACAGCTTTTCTTTATCGAGAAAGGAGCTCAGGTTTGGAGGCTGGACCCCTGGTCCAAAACCAATCGCCCCTCCCTGGCCCAGGTTCCAGGAGTCAAGAAGTGGGTCACAGAGGCCCTGGGATGTGAAAGGAGCAGAGAGTCACACACCAATCCAATAAAAGTAACCGTTTATTTGTAGAGCTAACACTGAAACACGACATGGCGAAGCTTGTATCGGATGTGGATGGCAGAGATCATGGATGACATTTAAGAAATTGAAACTGAAAAAAAATCGACGGAACTCAGGCCCATAGACTCTCACCTCCTGGACTCATCCACCCCAGCCCCTGGCCTCCCAACCTCACCACCCATCAGCACCCAGCTTTGTCCATTTCGGAGTCAGGGTGTCCCCACCCTTCCCCACTTCCAAATTCCTTCCAACCCTCCCATCCCCCAACACTAAAAGCCCCCCCCCCAATTTTTTCCCTGTTGGGACTGATCCCCAGCCCACTTTCTTACTAAATAAATACCCCCCAGCCCCACATCCTCCATTAACCAATGAAAAAATAAATATTGTGGCTACCCTTCCCACCTACTCCCAAATCACCTATGGAAAAAATCCCCTGGATTCGGGGCCCCAGCCATTCACCCCAAAAGTCCCTTTTCTCTAACCTCTCTGCAGCCCCCTTCAACTCCTCCCCACACCCAGCTAAGCGGGAGGGGCAGGGAAGGGCCCATGAACCCTTCTGCCGCCAGGGCACCCCCTTTTGTGTTACCGAGGCCCCAGGAGGGCCAGGACTGAGAGGGAGATAATAAGGGTGGGCTGGAAATGAAAACCAAGAGATGCCCCCCCAGTCCTGCTCCTCCCCTGGTTGTGTCGAACAACGACACCTCCTCCTTTGCTCCCAGCTCCCTCTCTCCGAGGAGGGCGAGGAGGGCGAGCTGGCGCGGGCACAGCTGCTGCCCCAGCCATCCAGTCGTCTGCATAGTGGACGCCTTCTCCAGAACCCGCACTGCTGCCTTCTTCTTCATCGTGGTCCTCATCCTCTGCAAACAGGGAGCCCCCCCCCGCCCAGTGTGAGGCACAGCCAGGAGGAAGAGAGAAGTGCAGAGGGGAACAGAATGAAGAGAGGCGGCGGAGGTGGAGGGGAAGGTGAGCATGAGCGACAGGAGAGCAGGGGCAAGCGCAGGGAAGGAGGGAAGGCAAAGGAGGAGGAGAAAAAGGAGGCGGGTAGATGGAGAGAGGAAAAACGGGAAGAGAGAAAACAGACATCCACAGAAGCAGCCAGCAATGGGAAAGGGGGTGCGGGAGGAAAGGGACAGACAATGAGAAACGGGTATAAATACAGATGCTCGGCAAGTACCTGGGGGGAGTTCGCCCAAAGGCCCTTGCGCACCCCTTTCCCAGTCTCCCCACAGCCACTGCCCACTCAAAGAAGCTCCCCACCGCTGGGCAGGAAATGGGTGGGAGTCTCCCCCCCTCCCCCGCGCCGGACCGCGAACTCGGCGGGAGACCCAGATTGTTTTCCTGCCCTGAGCTCTTGGCATGTGTATTGGGGCAGGAGCGCGGTCCAGTGAATGACAGGCGGGGGCGGGGCCGAGCGGCCGGGGGCGGGGCCGGGGCCCGCCGCGGCCAATCGCAGGGACCCGACGCTCACCCGAGTCCTCCGACGCCAGGTCCCGGCCCTCCGCGGCCGCTTTCATTCGGATGGTGGCGGAGCGGAGTAGCAGCCGCCTCTTCCGAGCAGCCAGGTCCGGGGCGAGGGTCACCCCCGGGAACTCCGGGTTGTCCTGGTGCTCGGTCTCGGAGTCCTCGACCACGCGGGACAAGTACCTGCGAGCAAAGCGGCCCCGGAGGCTCCCACCCGCCGGCCCGGCCCCGCCCGGCCACCCACCCCCAGCACCGCGCCGCGCCCACCCGCCCGCCCAGCCCGCGCCTCACCGGCCTCGCCCGGCCCCGGTCCAGCAGGACGCCGCCTCCTGCGAGATGTCCGCGGCCATGCGGGAGTCGGCGCACACGCTCTGGGGCAGCCCGGCCCAGAAGCCCCGCACCCGACCTAGCCGCTCGCGGAGCTCCCACACCTGCGGGGTGCAGAGAGCGGGGTGCCAGCTGAGGTCCCCAGCCCGCCCCCCGCGACCCCCGCGCCGCCCCGCCGCTCACCAGCCTCGTGAGGTTGTTGCTCATGGTCTTTTGGGTGGGCGGCTGCTCCTCCAAGGACCCTGAGCTCCAGAGCCGGAGTCCGTCTTCCCGGAGGGGTGGGGCTCGGCGAGTGCGCGCCTGGATGATCTGGGGGGCCCCGCATTCCTTAAACACCTGTGGGAGAGCCATCCCACGCAGTCAGCCCACAGTGGGAAACCCCAGGGTCCTGCTCTCACCCCTCCATCTCCCCTCTCCAAAGAGCCACCTGGCTTGACACCCGCACGCTGTGTTCCTGCAGGTACATCAAGGCCTCCTGGATCCGCAGCCCGACGGCGCGGGCGGCCTGCTCGAACGAAAAGGGGCCCAGCAGCTTGTCAGCCAGCAACAGGAGACTATCTGGAAGGAGGGGGAGAAAAGTAGGGGGGCGGCAGGGACACAATCACTGAATTAGCAAGTCCACACGAGCATCACCCACCTGGCCTTGGAGGCGCCATGGCCGGGAGAAACTCACAGGCCCACTCACCCCTCATATATCCTCACAGGCATGCTCGGTCCCCCGCCCCCATCCCCGCCCCCCCCACCCAGGCTTTCCTATATCCCCCTCACCCAGGTAGGATTTCCAATCAGGATCCAGTCCCTGAGGGCCGAGACAGCCATGGGCCACATTGAGGCAGAAGCCACGACAGGGGGCCAAGGAGGGGACCCCCCTGCAAAGGGGGCAGCCGATCAGACGCATCACAGCCCGTTTGCAGTCCTCAGTCAGGGATGTCTGGGTAGAGAGCAGAGAGCAGAACTTTACCACCCCAAACTCTCAGCCCCACCCACACTGAACTCTTTCTTTCCTTCTTTCCTTCCTTCCTTCCTTCCTTCCTTCCTTCCTTCCTTCCTTTCTTTCTTTCTGCTTTTTGGGTCACACCCAGCGATGCACAGGAGTTACTCCTGGCACATGCACTTACTCCTTGCAGTGCTCGGGGGACCATATGGGATGCTGGGAATCGAACCTGGCTCGGCCGCGTGCAAGGCAAACGCCCTACCTACTGTGCTATTGCTCCGGTCTCTGACACTGAACTCTCGTCCAGGCTGGCTATGAGGTGACTGCAGCTGTTGACCGCAGGGGACAGCAGGTCATACTCCAAGACGGAGCCACAGATTGAGGAGGGGGCTCCTGTTACTTTGGGGTCCTGAGCGGGGTCTGAGAAAAGACCAGTGGTGGGTGGAGGGAGGGAGCTGAAAACGTAGGTGATGAGGCTTCTGGGGTGAGGCCTTGATGCCCCCAGATCCCACAAGGGGCCCAATCTCGAGCAGACCTTCAGTGGGTATGAGTCATCATCAGAGGGCTGGAGAAGTTCAGAGGTTAGGGGTCATGACACCAAGGAGCATTCATTCCAACCCCTTCCTCTCTGATTTTCCCTGAGGTGCCTTGGGGCGGATAAGGGAAGGTCCCAACCAGCTGTCCCAGTCTCCTTTTCTTCTTTCCTTTTTGTTTGTTTCCAGGTCACACCAAGCGGCTGCAGGGGCCACTCCTGGTTCTGTGCCCAGGGGACCATGCGATGCCTGGGATGGAAGCGGGGCCACTTCCGTGCTCCGCAAGCACTACAGACACCAAACTCTCTCTGGCCCTCTCCTCCTAAGGTCTCCCTCCCAGGGCTCTGTGCACCCACAAACCCCCCTACCTTAAGTGCTTCGTTGACCACATCTCTTCCGTTCTTCAGGCCCTGCACAAAAGCTCGGGCAGCCAGCAGGGCCCGGGTTAGCTGCAGGAAGGGGAAAGGTGGAGAAGAGAAAAACCAATAAAGGGTCATTCGTAGCTAGGTCAGTGAAGACAGACTGAGAGTTCACCCAGGGGGGCCTGCAGTGGCCATCAGCCTTGTGGGGCTATCTTAGAGTGGCCAGGATGGAGCTGTTTTACAGGATCTGAAGACAGAACAACTAGATTGAAGACAGAGGAGCTGAGCATGAGAAACAGCTTTACCACTTGCTGGTTATGGCATCTTAACAACTCCGGGAGATTCAGCATTCTCATCTGTAAAATGGGCATATTACTGCCTCCCTCTGGAAGCTACATCAATGAGAAGAAAATGCAACCCTTCTCAAATCTGAAGGGCTAACTCATGGCAAGTTCAACAAGAGGAAGCCAAAATGTTAGGAGTAGGAGGGGTTGAAGGAGCAGGTGAGCAGGAAACTAAGAAGAGACAGGGACTCTTGATGAGGATCACTGGGTCAGAGCCAGCTGCCACGCAGGTCTGGAATGACGGGGGGGGGGGGCATGAAAAGGGGGCGTCAGAGGGCTGAAGAGCGAGGCATAGTTAGAGAACACACAGTCGGTCAGAGATGCTGCAGCTGAGGCCTGGGGCCCCTCACCTGCTGGCGGAGGCGGCGGGGTGAGTCCCCGAAGGGCTTCAGAGACTCTTCAGCAGAGGTGGCAAAGCGTGTGAGGCAGAAGAGATACCCGGAGGAGAAGGAGTACTGTGGGTGCAGCACAGGAAATATTCTCTCCAGGAGCTGCGCCCAGAAATCCGCCAGGGCATCATCTAACCCCCCACCGGACTTCTCATAGTAGTCCCGGAGCCGAGAGAACAGGCCACTGAACAAGAGCGTGTGCTGGGCATACAGGTGGCGGCCGTAGGAGCGGTGGAAGAGCAGGGCCAGAGAGTGCTCGGATGACAAGAGCATCTCCCGGAAAGTCTCTGTGGTAAAGGCAGAGAAGCACGTGTGAGGGGCCAGAAGGCCGGCAGCAGGATGAGCGAGCGGTGGGAGAGAAGAGGAAAAGCTGGAAACCCAGAGATCTGAGCAGCCTGGGAATGGGGCAGGGGTGGGGTGGGGGGTGTAGGGAGGAGATGGGGGAAGCAGGAAGGACCCTGGAGAGAGGCTGGGAGGAGGGAGATGCTAAGCTAGGGCTGAGCTGGGATGCCTAGGGAAGGAGCAGGGGAGAGGGACAGGATGCTTGGACAGCACACAGAGAGGGTGACTGGATCAGCATGGAGGACTCCGAGTTCTCACCATCAAACGTTTTGTGCCGGGCAGACAGCATGTGAACCAGGAAGGAGCCGTTCTCCTCCACCAGGCTCTGTAAGGTGGACTCTGTCTCCCAGGTCAGCCTCTGCTCGATCTCACTGGAACAGCAGGTATATTCCTGGGGACAGATCTGGAGGTGCTCGCCTGGACGGAGAAGTAGTGGATGGGGATGTGGTGAAATTTCTTCCTCCCCCCCCCAACCTCTTGGGGGGGGGGTATCCCTTCTCTTCTACCTGTCTGGTCCCTTGTCTATTGTCTGCCCTGGCCCCACCTGCTCCGGGTTCTTCCTTATTGTCTCCTCTTCCATCCCGTATCTGCTGCATCTCATGTTGCCCCGGGATCAAATAGTGATGGGGCAAAAATGTGATCAAAGGGTCCTCAGGTGACCTTCCCTAACAATCACACACCACAAGTCTTTAGGGACTAACAGGACAGCTTCTGTGGGAAGCATGGGGTTGAGGGGTGGAATCACTTGGCAAACTAGAAAGCATCGCTTCCTAAGCGGGCGGGCAGAAATTGTGATGGGAATGAACTGGGCTCAGAAGAAAGAAAGGCAGAGGAGATGCTAATGACTAGGAGATTCCTGGGGTGGGGGGGAGTAAAAAAGCTATTATGTGATCCAGGGAGTACCGTAATTCCGGTAAGAAAGTTCGGAAGGAGACATTGTTACTATGGGGGATGGAGGGGTGGTGGTGGGAGACGATTATTACAACGGTCACTCTGAAAAGGGAAGAGAGTTATTGTGCGATGAGGAGGACCCGCCCCCGTCCCCCTCCCTCGTCCCCTTTTCTCTGTAGTCTTCCTCTTTCTCCTCACCTGAGATCAGGGCGGGAGGGAGTAGATTTAAGCTATATCCCCGGGCTCCCAGCACCTGCCGGGTCTCAGTGCAACTCCGGGTGACCTTTGCCTCGCTCCTGAGTCCAGGTCCCGGACCGGGACACAGAGGCAGCAGCAGAAGCAGAAGTGATCGCATCGCGGACATAGCTGCTGCGTCTTGGGACGGCAAAGTGGGTCCAAAGGAAGAAAGAAAAGCCGCCCGAACTCAGAAAGTCCGTTCTTGGACACGGGACCCGTCCGCCGGTCAGAGAAAGAGCGCGACCTCCGAAAACTGAACGCAGAGCACCGTAGCTGGACCAGGCGGCATCTGCGGAGACAATGGGAGCCGGAGTCGGACAGGGGGCGGGGCCCCGGGCAGAGCCCCACCAATGATGGTTAGGCGCTGCTTTGGGGGCGGGGCCAAGGAAGAAATCAAGCCAATGTCCGGGAGGGAAACTCGGCAGGGGGCGCGGTACTCGATCGAACTAAGAGGGTTGATGGGGGGAGGGGCGTGGCCTTTCTGGGGGGCGTGGCAGTCCATTTGGGAGGCGGGGCTGGGATGGAACTCAGCCTATGGCAGTTGAGAAGCAAGCTGGAAGTGAGTCTGGGAGAGTTGAGCGCGAAGCCCACCCGATAAGGGGAGGAATAGGGGCCAGGTCTGGGCGGTGCCGGGGTGGGGCTGGGCTAGAGAGAGCAGGCCGCATGCCCGGGCCCACGTGACTGGGCGACCAGCCGCCCACCTCACCGCTCCTCGAGGCTTTTAGAGCGGCGTGACGGGAACGTGGTGAGCACGAGCTCACGTAAGGCGCAAGTCTCGCGATAGCCCTGGGCCAAAATGTTGGCTCTGCGTCTGCGCACGGCTCACCTCGCGCCTTCCCGCGCTTTTCTACGTTCTCGCGCCACCGGAAGCGGCGGCGGCGGCTGCGTGTGCGGAGGCGTTGGGGTTGCGGACGTTTCTTTGGCCCCGCTCGGCCTGAAGTCGCTTTCTGAGGCACCGCTAGTGACGTCCCACTTTGACCCAGGTTCCGGCCCCTTCCCATCCCAGATTCCGGGCCCGACCCGACCCATTCCCCAGAGGCTCGGAACCGCGGCCCGAGCTGCTGTGGGGGCGCTCGGTCCGGAGCACCTCAGGGTCTGTCAGAGGAGCCTCTTCTCAGAGACGCCACCTCACTTGGCCCTTCCCACGGCCCTTCACGGAGCGTCTTAGAGCCACCCTGGTGGCTTCCCGCGTCTGGGCGAATCTTCCAGCGGGAACTCCAGGCTGTTCTGGGAGTTTCTACTCTAAATTGTCGTGTGGGCCTGTGTCCGCAGTTTCCGTCTCTGAAGCCTCCGCAGGTTCCAAAAGCTCGGGCAGGTGCCTTTGCCCTTGCTCGGGGTGCTGGAGCTTTTATTTGGGGGGAGGGGGGAGGCGAGCCGACACCTATAGGTGCTGGGGCTGACTCCTGGGTCTGCGCTCAGGAATTTGCTCCTGGTGGGGCTGAGGGACCCAGTGGGGTGCCGGGGATCGAACCCACATCAGTCGCGTGCAAGGCAAGCGCCCTCCCGGCTGTACTGTCGCTCCCGTCTTTGTTGTTTTTCCCCAGGGTCCCTCACACGTAGGACCTGTGGTCTGCCGCCGAGTCATCACCTAGCGTCTTTTTTTTTTTTCGGTCACACCCAGCGATGCACAGGGGTTACTCCTGGCTCTGCAGTCAGGAATTACTCCTGGCGGTGCTCAGGGGACCATATGGGATGCTGGGATTCGAACCCGGGTCGGGTGCATGCAAGGCAAACGCCCTACCCCTGTGCTGTCGCTCCAGCTCCTCCCCTAGCGTCTTTATATTTTAAAATTTCTTAAGCTTATTTTTTATTTTTTGCTTTATTTTTATTTGCTTTTACTTGCCTTTTATTGTCTTTTTTTTTTTTTTGCCATGTTCTATTGCTTGATTCCCCTTTGGCACCTTTTGCTGGGAGCACTGTCTGCTGCGCCTTGTTGAGATTTGTGGTGCAGGAAGTTGAGCTTCGAACCTCGGCCTGCAAAGGGTCCCCACGCCTTCGGTCAAGATCCTCTGTATTAGTTCTTGTGGGTTTCTTCCGGGTTTCAGGAGCAGGCCTCCTGGAAGGAAAGGGGCTGGGTTTGGAGAAGTGGGGGTGTCTGAGCCTATGCCCCTTTGTCTTTGCAGCTTCCCACCATGCCTGCCCTGCGCTCCTCCTCTCGCCTCCAGAGCACCTCCACCTGCGCCCTATCCTCCCCTCTGCAGAGGAGCCTGGGGAGTGGGCCTGGAAGTCTGGCCGCGTCCCCCAGTTCATCGGTCAGGGTGGTCGGTGATGACGGGGACTCGGAGCAGACATCAGAGGGGTGAGTGGATTCCCGCCACACAGTGCCATACCTCCCCCTTTCTCCTGCAGTACCAGCAGCTGGTCTGGTCTTTGGAGGACAGGCGCTGAGAAGACTTGAAAGGCTCCACTTGGTTCAGAGTCTCCTGCTCCTATTACAGTTTTGTGAGCCCCCTCCCCCAACGTTATGGGGTGGTGACCACTAGAGCCCTACTCTGGCTTATCCCTTATCTTGTGAAAGTATCTATATGAAGCAGGGGGGATGGGGGAAGGAGTTAAAGCATCTTTTCCCCCTTGCAGGACTAATAGTACAGCCTTCTTAGTTGAGTTTCTGTCCTGCCCTTTTCGAGAGATTTTATAAATAAGTTCACGGTTTTATGTTTGTTATGTTCGTGACTTTATTTTGTGAGGATTATAAGAGTTTTTTTTTTAAATTTTCAAGTCTTGATCATAAAAAAGCATCTTATTCAATACCTGATTTATCCCCTGATCATTTTAGTTGGCTTTTCTTCCCTCCCTTCCCTCTCCCTTCCTCTCCCTCCTCTTCCTTTCCCTCTTCCCTCTTCTCTCTCCCTTCTCTTTTCTCCTCCAGTCTTACTCTCCCCTCCCCTTTCTCTGCCTCCTCCGATTGATTCCCTTCCTTTCCACCTCCTTTTCCCTTATCTTCTCTTCTAGTCCTGCTTCCTCTTCACTTCATTGTTTTTCAGCCACACCGGGCTTACACCTGGCTCTGAACTCAGATCACTCCTGGCAGGCTTGGGGGACTATATCCGATGCCAGGAATTGAACCAGGCAATTGCTTGCAAGATCTCTCCAGTCCGCTTTGCTGATTTTTTCTCCACATCCTTCTGCCTTTATAAATGAATTGTCAGTTGATTGTTTTATTTAGAGAAAGATTGTTCATCAGCAACCTCAGTTCCTTATTCTCTGTTCCTTAATTGTTTTTAAAAAAAAGAAACTACCTTTTTGTGGGGGGCTTTCCAGGGGCTACATACTGGGATACTCAGGGGCCATGTGGTATAGGAGAGTGAATCGAAGTTGCACCCCTCACCATGTGCTGTCTTCCTGCCCCCTTTTTGTTTTATTGAATCACCATGAATTACAAAGTTACGGAGATATTTATGATTAAGTTTCAGGCTTATATTGTTCCAATACCAATCCCTTTAAGTGCTCATTTTCTCTCCCTCCCCCATCCTGCCTTTGTGGCAGGCACTTAAAAAAAGAAAATTTTCATTTTAAGATTTTGTCTCTGCTTCCTAGAAATGGTAAGCTAATCTCTTAGAGTATACTAATCTCTATGTCAGAGACATAGAAATAAATCTGCATTTACTGTCTTGTATAGAGGGACTGCAGATCATGTTTAAGGGTAACCACACTTCCTCGTAGGGAGAGTGACTCTCTATCCCCCAGCGAAGACAGTGACTTTGAGGACAGCCTGAAACGCAGTGCGAAGAAGAGAGCTGCAAAACGACCACTCAAAACAACTCCAGTGAGTCTGTTCATCTTATTTTGGTTTTGAACCAAATGGAATAATGAAATGAAATAACCAAATGGAATAATGAAATGAAAAGGAAAAAAAGAAAGCACAAAACAATGTAAAGGGACAGAAGTCAGAAAAAAAATGAACCTAGAAAGATCGTGCAGCAGGCAGGGCACTTACCTGGGTTTAATCCCTGGCACTCCATGTGGTCCCCCAACCCTTGCCAGGGACTGAGTGCAGAGCCAAGGGTAAGCCCTGAGCATTGTCAGATATTGCACTGCAATATATTGCCCTCCTCCCAGAAAGGAGGGGAAAGTTTTTTGTTTTTTTTTTTCTTTTTTTGTAGGAGTACTGTTATTTATTCAGCCACTTATTAGCTGATTGAATTGTGCATGAACTCCACCTTACTTTTTTTTTCTTTTTCCATTTTTTATAATTTTATTTATTGAATCACCGTGAGAGCAGTTACAAAGCTTTTGGGTCTAAGTCTCAGTCATATAATGAAACACCTGTACCTTCACCAGTGCCCATTCTCCACCAAAAATCCCAGTATACCCCTATCCCACACCCTCCCCCTGCCTGTGGGGTAGATGATTTCTACATTACTCTCTCTCTACTTTGATCACATTCACTATTTCGACACCAGACCCACCATTATTTAAGATTTTACCCCAACACTCAGATCTGCTGAAAAGGCAACAGTAGACAATTTGCTCTCTATTGCTGGTTATGAATAACATATGATGTCGTGTGGCTGCAGTAGGGCCATGTGGTTTTGAAATTCTGAAATTTTAACACTTAAATCTGGAGGGATTTCTGCCAAAAGCCACTGGGTTTAGAGATCTGCTCCTGAGTCTCTGGGATCATGGCCGTTGAGCAGCTTGATAAGGAGCCAAAGAGGCCGTTCGTTGGGGTCTCATTGGGGTGGGGAAGACAGGCCCGGCTCCACCTCCCCCCCCATCCCGTGAGACCCAACAAGTTTCGTCACTGCGGGCCCAAGCCTGACTGTCCAATGGCCTCTGGAGGATGACAGCCACCAAGTCACCAAGAGGGAGCAGGCGGAGGGACAGCACCCATTCCCCCCTGGGGTGGCCCGGCGACAGTAACCTACTGCGGGGTCCGGACACATTTCTGACAAAAGCCGCTGGGTTTCGAGAGGGAGGGGAAAGTTTTAAAGAGAAAATTTTAAAAATTAAGTTTAAGTTTCACCCTCTGCCCCAAATAAAAATTTTTGGAGGGGGTGTTGGGCCACAATTGGCATTGTTCAGGGCTTATTCCTGGCTCTGTGCTCAGGAATCACTCCTGGTGATACTTGAGGGACCATATGGGGTGATGGAGATTGAATCCAGGTCCACTGTACGCAAGGCAAACGTCCTACTCACTGTACTATCTCTCTGTCCCCAAAATAACACTTTTTTCCTTTGTATGAAACTTTTTTTTTTTAAGTGAAGAGAATATCTTCAGTTGGGGAGGGACTTAGTATAGGGCTAAGTTTAACAACAACCCAAAAGCTAAGTTTTGGGTTCTTTTGGTTTGGGGACCACATCCAATACTCCTGGCTCTGTACTCAGGAATTACTCCTTATGGTACATGTGTGACCATATGGGATGCCAGCGATCGAACCCATGTCATCCGTGTGTACAGCAAATGCCCTACCCGCTGTTCTATCTCTCCAGCCCCAACAACAGTATTTTTTAAAAAAATTATTTCTGATGTTTGGTTATTAGGTAGCTAAACAACCCAAAAAGGCATCCAGAATAGTACGTGGTCGTGAACAGAAAAAGGAAGAACCACCACCCAGTGATCTCTTTGATGCTGTGAAAGCTGCCAAAGGTGACATGCAGGTAAAACTGTCTCTATTTCTGGACACCTTCTCGCCCTTAGTGGGCTGGAAAGATAAAGAGATACTTAAGACAGATGATTTCATATGTACATTTAATGATACAGTGTAGTGAGTTTAACTTTTACCAGTAAAGACTGATAAGACCTTGGAGTGATAGAAGTGAGACATTAGGTAAGAAAGAATGTTCCTCTATGAAAAATATTACAGGACAGAATTAATTTTGCCTTTATGAATTAATAGAAAAGGCAGTGAGAAGCATCGGAAAATCTAGGGAGGAAGATGTGGTACAGCTGACAACTTGTTCCCCTTACCACTTAAGTCACGGTCACGGTCCTCCCGTTGTTCATCGATTTGCTCGAGCGGGCCCAGTAACGTCTCCATCATGAGACTTGTTGTTACTGTGTGTGGCATATCGAATACGTCACGGGCAGCTTGCCAGGCTCTGCCCTGCGGGTGAGATACTCTCAGTAGCTTGCCGGGCTCTCTGAGAGGGGCGGTGGAATCGAACTCGGGTCGGCCATGTTGGCTGCTTGTAAGGCAAATGCCCTACCGCTGTGCTATCGCTCCAGCCCACTTAAGTAATTGTACCTAATTTTTTCTCCCCGCATACCTTTATAAAAAAAAATTTTACTATAATTTCATTATGTAAAAGTGTGTGACTTATATGTGGTTTGATGTCCTTTAAATGGCCTCTTAAGGTTTTTCTATCCAGTTGAATAAATGAAATATTACTAATATAGAATTTCTTGTATTTTTTCACCCTGCCTACCTTCATAGCCCCCTTGCCACAGAGATAACCATTAGATTTAACGGTGTTACTCATTTCCATAACTTTCATGATAGTGTTTCACCAGTGAGTATGCTGCTTTTCTCTGTGTATTGGGTGCTCCCCTACAGTGCTCGGGGGTCTAGGGGCCTCTCAGCGATTCTCAGTCTAGTGCTTGGGGTGTCTGGGGTTGCTCCTGCTGATGCTCCATCTGGCGGTGCTGGCCAAGTTTCAGTGCTCGGCACGGCAGTCAGCAATATTTTTTGAAAGTATCATATATGTTTTTACTGAACTGGGAAGACAGCTTTGCATGTGGGAGGTCTGGGTTGGTCCCAACACTGCACCGATCAAGGAGTAGCCCCTTAGCACCACTGCATGTGATCCAAAACACCCGGAACAAACTGCAAAAGGTTATTTCTTCAATCAGGAGTTTTTCTGCTTTGATTGGGAAATAATAAGGAATTTCTAATCTCATACTCCTGGCATAAAAGCTCTGTATGACTTTCTTAGACATTGGTGGACGAATGGCTGGAAAGCTACAAGCAAGACCCAGAGGCAGGCTTCCTGGAGCTCATTAATTTCTTCATCCGATCTTGTGGATGCAAAGGTGAAGAGAAATCCCTACCTCTTTCTAGACTTTCATCTAGACTTTCATCTCCTATGTTATAAAACCTCTACCTTTTTGAGTAGAGGTAGGCAAAATTAAGGGAGAAGGCATTTTAAAAGTTTCACTTATTTAACTCCATTGTTTTGTTTTGGGGTCATTCCCAAAATGTGGTGTTCTGGGATCACTCCTGATAGTGCTCAGGGGAATATAAAGTAGTGGGGATCAAGCTTTGCCTGCTTCTATACCAGGCACACGCTCCAGCCCTCTGAGCCATCTCCAGATTCTTTAATTACATTTATTTTTGTTGGTTTTGGGACCACACCCGATGGTGGTGGTCAGGGTTTACTCCTGACTCTGTGCTCAGGGATGGCTCCTGGTGGGGATCAGAGAACCATATGGGTACAGGGGATTGAAGCTGGGCTGGCCAGTTGCAGTGAAGTGCTCTGTCCACTCTGCTATCTCCCGACCTTGCTCCGTCTTAATTACTTTTTTTTGTTTTTGGAACTACATTTTATAAATTATTAAATAGAAAAATGATCGTGTAGGGAACTACATGTTTGTAAATAAGGTCCTGGGGCAGGGGGGATACATACTCATGCTAGTATAAAAATAATTATAATGATCACAGTCCAGGATTGGGGCTGGAGTGATAGCAGAGTGAGTAGGGCCTTGTACACTACTGACCCGGGTTTTATCCCTGGCACCCCGATGGTCCCCTGAGCCCGCCAGGAGTAATTCCTGAGTGCAGAGCCAGAAGTAAGCTCTGAGAACCACCAGGTATGGCCCCCAAAATAAAGAAACAAATAAAAAATCATAATCCAGGATTTACAAATGAACAGTCACAAGTTGGAGAGATAATACAGTGGGTTGGGCACTTGCCTTGCACATGCAGACACGGGTTTGATTCTTAACACACTGTATGATTCCTGCCAGAAGCGATCCCTAGGTGTGTAGCGAGGAGTAGGTCTTAAGTACTGCCAGGTGTGGCCCTCAAAACAAGGGCAAAATATACCAACATTCTTTAGTCTTTTCTCTGGAGGAAATAATTATTTGATTTCTTATACTTTATTCATTCAGCCATCATTTTCAATATTTCTCCCCTAAACTATTCCCAAAGGCCATGGTCAGATTCATTGGATCAGTCTCTCTCAGGTTGTCTCATAAGAATCTTCACTTTGGTTTTATTGTTTTGACTTTTTAAACTGTTCAATAGGGCTTGGGGAGATTTTGGATGGTGGCTGGGGATCGAACCCAGGGACTCAAACATGCAAGACAAGTGCTCTACCGCAGAGCCACATATGAGCTTAAATGTTATGTATACACACACACACACACGTGTATATATATATATATATACATATATATATTACAGCTTGATTCCTTTGTAGTTTCGAGAGGAATTGCTTAATCAGAGTTTGACTGATGTAAGGATTCAGGTTTTCTGATATCCCTCTCATCAGGTTTTTACAGTGTATTTTCTATTCATCTTCAGATGTACATTCAAATAAATGGTTATTTTGTCCTGTTATTTTCTTACTAAATACCTCCTCTTCTTCACTCCTTGTTCTAGGCACAGTGACCCCTGAGATGTTCTCGAAGATGTCCAACTCCGAGATTATCCGGCTCCTAACAGAACAGTTTAATGAGGTGGAGAAGAATGTCAAAGCCTCTCATCCCTCTTATTTTGAAATATAAAGCCTGTTAATTCTGGGAAGTAGAATAGTATTTAGAAGTAGCAGATGTATTCTCTAGAGGGTGAAAAGGACCTACAGGTACTAATTTTGTTTATAGAATTGAAAATAGCAAAAATGAGGTATGGCATTTACTTTTTTAAGTTTTTTTTTTAATCGAATCACTGTGAAGTTTTTAATTTCAGAGTTTCAATATCCAAAGTGTCTGGTTTCATAGAACTGGTAGTGACTACCATTCTCTCCATCCACCCTTCTCTAGGACTCAGGCGACTACCCATTGACAGCTCCAGGTCCGTCCTGGAAGAAGTTCCAGGGCAGCTTCTGTGAATTTGTGAGGACGCTGGTTTACCAGTGCCAGTACAGCCTCCTCTATGATGGCTTTCCTATGGACAACCTCATCTCTCTGCTCACTGGCCTTTCAGACTCCCAGGTCCGCGCCTTCCGCCACACTAGCACTCTGGCTGGTGAGCACTCATTTTCACTCTCGAAATGTTCTCCCAAAAATTGATCCAATTCCCCTCTGTTCTCCAGTCCTGGATCTTATTTCCCATCTGGGTCTTAATTCATTTTTTTTTCAGTGCCATGCTGCTGTGGCAGGGGGCGGGGGGGGGGGGGAGGGGAGAGGGATGATGAAGAGCATCTGCTTTTTTAAGTATTTTTATTGATTGAGATTCTGTGGTTTGCAATACTGTTACAAATGGTTTCTCATGCACGTAATTACAGTGCCACCCCTTTCACCATTGTGTCCCCCTCCGTCCCCCAAAGAATCTCCCTCTTCACCCCCATTCCAGCTCAGTTGTGTGGATCAGTTCTATCGTGCCATGCTGCTTTTAACCCTAATCTCAAGCAGTTTCTCACTGGTGAAATTGTAAAAAGTGGGTCATGGTGAACATTTTCAGAATCAACTTTTTGTTTTGTTTTGGGGCTACACCCAGCAGTGCTCAGGACTTACTCCTGGTTCTGCGCTGTAGGTGCTTAGGCGACCATATGGGGTGCTGGGATCGAACCTGGGTTGGCAAATGCCCTCCCCACTGTACTATCGCTCTAACCCCAGAGAATTGGCATTTTATATTTACCATGGGAATCTGCTGACAGTTAAAAGAAGCCCAAAGGAATGAGGAAAAAAAGTCAACACCAACATTCTAGCTTCCCATTTTCTCTCTCTTTCTTTTTTTTTTTAAACTTACCTTTACTCCTCTGACTTAAGTAATGATTCCCATATCCTGTCTTTCTGAACTCAAAGCCATGAAGTTAATGACCTCCTTGGTAAAAGTTGCCCTCCAGCTGAGCCTGCACAAAGAAAACAACCAGCGTCAGTATGATGCTGAAAGGAACAAGGGGCCTGCGCTCAGAGCACCAGAAAGGCTGGAGAGCCTGCTGGAGAAGCGCAAAGAGGTGAGTATTCCCTGTTTCTTCCCGAGCTCTTCCCCAGCCTCCCTCACTTCCTGCCTGCACAGCTGCAGTCCATTTCTCAGTCCCCAAGTGCTTCTCTGTGCTCCACTACAGGCAGCCTCTTGAGGCATGGTAGCAAGGCTGGCCATAGAACCATCCTGTCACTAGAACCATTCTATCAGAGGTCATAGCATGTTCCCCTTGTTCCTGGGATGTGGGCTCAATAAAAATAATTCATTTTATTTATTTATTTGTTTGTTTTTGCTTTTTGGGTCACACCTGGCGAGGCACAGGAGTTACTCCTGGCGGTGCTCAGGGGACCATATGGGAAGCTGGGAATCGAACCCGGGTCAGCTGCATGCAAGGCGAACGCCCTACTCGCTGTGCTATCTCCCCAGCCCCCAAATAATTCATCTTTAACTTAGAGTAAACTCTGTAATTCCTAGCTCTGTACTAAGGGATTTCTCCTAACAAGGCGGGGGAACTATATGCAGAGCCAGAGATCAACCCCAGATCGGCCATATGAGACAAGCGCCTTACCCTCTGTTCTCTCTCCAACTTTCCTCCTTTTCTATTTTTTCTTTTTTTAAAAAAAAATAGTCAGTGTGAATGAAAAAGTTATTCATGATTGAATTTCAGGCTTAGTGTCCAACACAATCCCTTTCACCAGTGTCTGCTTCTCCCTAGCCTGCCTACATGTTATAGGCTCTGTGGTTTACAGTGCAGTTACTAATAGGGTATCATGCATATCACTTTACCTTCTTTCAGCACCCCCTCCTTCAGAGTCACCACTTCCCTCCATCATTGTTTTAATGTTCTCCTTCCTATTTTCCTCCTTTTCCCCAGTGGCAAATTTTCTATTGAAGGCCGTTTTTCATGTTCTTCATTTCTACTGCCTTTGGACCTTTGTTATTTCCCTACTATGTTTCTTTATACTCCACATATGAGAGAGATCATTCTGTGTCTGTCCTGACTAATTTCATGCAGTGTGATACTTTTCAGGTCCATCAATGTAGCAGTAAATTGCCTGACTTCATCCTTCCTTACAGCAGAGTAGTATCCCATTGCATAAATGTACCATAGTTTCCTTCTCCAGTGATCTGTTACTTGGGCACTTGAATTATTTCCAGATTTTGGCTATCATGAATAGTGCTACAGTGAACACAGGGGTGCAGACGTTTCTTCTGGACCGCCTTTTTGGGCCTTGGGGCTATATTCCCAGGAGTTCCTAACTTTATTTTGTCTGTCTGAATTCTTTTTTAAAAATTTAATCACTGTAAGATACAGTTAAAAAGTTGTTCACGATTGAGTTTTAGTCATACAGTGTTCTGTTTTAAATCTGAAAATTTTCAAGCATTTAGACAAAGAGACTAAATATCAATACTACTAATTTATTATTAGCATGAATACGACATATACATTGTCTGGTTTTAACACCAATATTTCACCATATTTTTCCATTTTTGCTATTTTATAATAAATTTTGGATATAATTAATATTCTAGTCTTACTTTAATGTGTTCTCTAAAGAATGACATGTTTCTGCACAATATCCATACCCCATTTCGTGCTCAAAAATATTCACTAGTTTGTAACATCACTAGTTTATAACATTTTCTAATACCAATTTATATTTAAATATCTATCAAAAGTCAGTGATAACTGGTTAATTCCTAGCAGAATTTAAGTAAGGACTGTATTGCATTTGGTTGTTGTAAGTATTTTGTGGCGGGGGGTGGGGGGCGGTCAAGGTATGTGCTCAGGGATTCCTCCTGTCATGGGATCTGGCCCCTGTGTTTTTTGTTTTTGTGTTTGGTCACACCTGGCTGTGCTCAGGACTTACTCCTGGCTCTGCACTCAGGGATCATTCTTTGTGGGACTTGGGATCATTTGGAGTGCCAGAGATAAACGTGAATGGGCTATGAGCAAGGCAAGCATTGTACCTTCCCAGCCACTGTGTCTTTTATTAATTATACAGTGGTAGGGCGTTCGCCTTACACACGGCCAACATGGCCGACCCGAGTTCGATTCCTCCGTCCCTCTCGGAGAGCCCGGCAAGCTACCGAGAGTATTCGATATGCCAGACACAGTAACAACAAAGTATCCAATGGAGACGTTACTGGGCCCGCTCGAGCAAATTATACTATTTATTATTTATTTATTTTGGGTTTGGGGCCATACCTGGTGATCCTCAGGGCTAACTCCTGGCTCTGCACTCATGAATTACGTTTTCTGGTGGTACTGGGGAACGGTATGGTATGCTAGAGTTGAATAGGGTCAGCCATGTGCAAGATAAACACCCTACTTGTTATACCATTGTTCTGCTCCCCCCACCCACCCAAGGCTTTTTAAATCATTCATGGAATCTCTTTCTTTTCCCTTCTCCCGCTCCATTTCCTCCTAATAAATTGACTTATTAAAGAGGTAGGTCAGTTGTCTTAACATTTTCTTGTAATTTTTCTTCCTTGATATCTATTAAACAAATATAGAGGTTATTAAGAGTGGCTGTTTCTTAACTATTAACATTGGGAGCTGTCCTAGCATTGTAGGTTACTTAGCAGCATCCCAGCCTTTGCTACATACAAGTGAGTTGTATTCATCCAGTTGTGACAACCAAAAATATCTTTAAAATTTTTTTCATTTTTTTGTTTGTTCCATTTCTATCAAGCCATAATTTTCCAGTGTTGTCAGAGACCCCTTAACTAGAAGCCAGAGCCTTTTAGGCTCTCTTTTATGCCGAGAGCCAAAGTAACCATGAAAAAATTCCAAATACAAAGAAACCTTTGTGACATTAGTTGACTACATAGCCTCTTCCAAAAGTAGGTTTGAAAGGGAACATAGGATGGGGGGAGGGGTTTCGACTATAACTCAGGCTCTTGAGGCTCAAGATCTTGAGATTGACCTGTTCCTTCCTGTTACCCAGCTTCAAGAGCATCAAGAAGAGATTGAGGGGATGATGAATGCCCTCTTCAGGGGTGTCTTTGTACATCGGTACAGGTGAGATCATGGATTCGTGTATGTTAAAACTCATAGAATTATGTTCATGTTAAAACATTCTTGTTTGTGTTGAAACAACTGGACCTTGGTGATGGAATCTCTGAAAGTACTAGTACTAAGGTTTTTTCTGAACCAGTAAGACTTAGCTTATTCCCACCTACAAAGGCTTTTTTGTTTTTGTTTTGTTGGCTTTTTGGGTCACACTCAGTGATACTCCTGCTCCAGTCACCTGCAAAGGATCTTATAAACTCTCCTGGGAGAGGAAATAAGAGGGTACGACACTGCTGAGAATGCTTCCCAGCTTTGCACAAGACCTTTCCTGTTCAGTCTTCCTATAGTTAGAAACTTCAGGGGATAAAAACAAAGAGTTAAAAGAACTTCTGAGGGATATTATGTACATTGTAGCCCAGCTTAGGGTTTTATTATGCCAAAGGCAGGGGAATTTTTTTTTTTTTTGCCACACTCAGTGGTGCTCAGAGTGCAAATTTATTCCTGAATCTGCATTCAGGAATTACTCCTGGTGGTACTTAGGGGACCATATGGGATGCCAGACATTAAACCCAGGCAAGGCAAACATCCTGCCTTATCTTTCCAGACCCAGGCAGGGAATTTTCTACAGAAACTGTTAAGAGTTTAATTTTTTTTTTTTTTTTTTTTTTGCTTTTTGAGTCATACCCGGCGATGCACAGGCGTTATTCCTGGCTCATGCACTCAGGAATTACTCCTGGTAGTGCTCGGGGGACCATATGGGATGCTGGGAATCGAACCCAGGTCGGCTGCATGTAAGGCAAACACCCTACCTGCTGTGCTATCACTCCAGCCCCGAAATTGAGTTTAAAGAGAGCATGTGCATTTCTCACTTTTACCAAAATTAAAATCTCGACCTTTCCAGAATCTTGTTTTTAACATTTTTTTTAAAAAGTGGAATCAAAACATGTACACACATGTGCATGTGTGTGCACATACAGCTGTTAAATTCCAAAATAAGATATTTTTTTTTTTTTGCTTTTTGGGTCACACCCGGCAATGCACACGGGTTACTCCTGGCTCTGCACTCAGGAGTTACTCCTGGCGGTTGTCAGGGGACCATATGGGATGCTGGGAATTGAACCCGGATCAGTTGCGTGTAAGGCAAATGCGCTAATGTTGTGCTATTGCTCCAGCCCCGCCAAAATCAGATTTTAGGGTCAGGGATGTGGCTCACGGGATGGCACATGCTTTGCATATGTCAGACTCTGGGTTTGATATTCATTGCCACAAAAATAACTCCACAAGGCAAATGTGTGCAAGGTTAGTTATTTAACCAGCTGGTTACAGAGAAAAAAACATTTATTTGTTGATTGTGGACCATACTCGGCAATGCTCAAGGGTTACTCCTGGCTCAGGGGAGTCAGGTATTGAACTGGAGTATTGGTATTGAACTGGAGTACTGGTATTGAACTTGGGTCAGTCACATACAAGGCAAATACCTTACCTGCTGTACTATCATTCCATCACCAACATTTGTTTTTGTTTATACTGCAGTTACGTTGGAAAGAGAAGCTATATTTAGTCAAGAAAGTTGTTGTGTGCCATTGAGATACCTGGTAAATCGGGAGTTAGGGGAGATGATGGTATGGGTCGATTTTCCTCTCTGTCTAGGGATGTTCTTCCAGAGATCCGGTCTATCTGCATCGAGGAGATCGGAACTTGGATGCAGAGCTACAGCACGTCTTTCCTAACTGACAGCTATTTAAAATATATTGGCTGGACCCTGCATGATAAGGTGAGGGGCTAGTGCAGCCACTTCCCCCTCTGCCTGCCCTGCTCTGCTTTATCTAAGGGTACTTTCCAGGCTACTGCACAGTGATCCATAGGGAAGCCCAGAATCAGGGAAGGTAGGCTAATCTGGGAAAGGTATCGGAACATAAAAAATGCCCCCAAACCAGAGTAGGCGGTAGAAAGACTCCCATGAAGAAGCAGGAAAGTGATCTCCTTTAATTGGAAATCGAAGTCCTGCATGGCATCCAAAGAGATTTCTCATTGTGGTTGCTGAATTCTTTCTTTTTTCCTCAAAGTTTTGGGGTGCGCAGGGAGCACACAGTATCAGGGTAATCTCCCCAGTCCTGTGAATCTTTGCTTTTTAAGTAAAAAGATTATCAGAGTCTTTGGTGGGATTACAGACCCAGACCCTCAGGGAAGGGGAGTATGGCAGCCTGTGGGGCTCAGTAGGTAGTGGTGGGTGATGTTGCCCTTCTCTGTAGCACCGGGAGGTTCGGCTAAAGTGTCTGAAGGCTCTGAAGGGGCTTTATGGCAACCAAGACTGGACTGCACGCCTGGAGCTCTTCACCAGCCGCTTCAAGGTAAAATTGTGATGGTGCGCTTCATTTGACTCTTTAATTGGGGGGTGGAGGAGTAGCTACTCCTAGTTCTGTGCTTGGGAGTTGCTCCTGGTGGTGCCCAGGGGACCAAGTGCTGAGGATGAAGCCTCTCTGCAAGTGCTGCCTGATGAGCTCTCTCTGGTCCTAGTGGCCTTTCCCTCCCTCCCTTTTGCCAATGTTTGTTGCACCTAATGTCTGTAGCCCTTTCTTCTGCATCATCTGCTTGCCCTCTCTTTAGAGATGTGTCTGTAATCCAGGTCTCAGAATGTATGTGGATGGAACAATGAGCTGTTGCACATTCTTCTTCCTGCAGGACCGGATGGTTTCCATGGTCATGGACAGAGAGTATGATGTGGCAGTGGAGGCCATCAGGTTACTGATACTTATCCTGAAGTAAGTCCCGGGAAGTGGAGGCGAGCATGAGCTCCACGATTTCATTCTAACTGCTGAGCTACACCTAGTTGTGCTCAGGGTTTACTCCCGGCTCTGTTCAGGTATCGATCCCTCCTGGCAGAGTGCAAGGGACTGTATGTGGTCTCCTTCCCAGAGTCTCAAAGGTCTTTCCAGTGTCCTGGCTCTCCCCCTAGCCAAGGTTGACTCTTTCCTTCTGCTCAGGTTGAAAGATAGAGGCCAGTCCTGATTGGCAAGATCTCCCAAGGGAAATTTTCCTCTCTTCTCTAACTTGCTGTCTTCTGCTTTTCACTGAAAAGCTCATTGTGAGTTTAGCCTCATTGCTTTTTCCTTTCTCCTTCTAGCCTTAGTTGTGCTCGAGGATGGTGCCTAGTAGCCACCTTCTTTTTTCTTTCCTGTGGCAGGAACATGGATGGAGTGCTGACCGAGGCTGACTGCGAGAGTATCTACCCTGTGGTATACGCGTCTCACCGGGCGCTGGCCTGCGCTGCGGGCGAGTTCCTGTATTGGAAGTAAGGGGATACCCTCTGATTCTGGCCGTGGTGCTGCTGCTCTGTGGTACCTTCCCCAGACCCCTCCTTTCCCTTCGCAGCCCTTGGACTCGTCCCCAGCTCTGTCCTCTTTATTCCCGGCAAGCTACCGAGAGTATCTCGCCCGCACGACAGAGCCTCGCAAGCTCCCCGTGACGTATTCGATATGCCAAACACAGTAACAACAAAGTCTCCAATGGAGACGTTACTGGGCCCGCTCGAGCAAATCGATTATCAATGGGAGGGCCTTTACCTTTACCTTTACCTTAGACTGGTGACTATTTCCCCCCCCCCCCCCCCCCCGCCTTCACTCCCCCTATAATGGCGTCCAGGCTCTTCTACCCGGAGTGTGAGATGAGAACAGTGGGAGGGAGAGAGCGCCACCGCAGCCCAAGAGCCCAGAGGACTTTCTTCCACCTCCTGCTGTCTTTCTTTGTGGAGAGCGAGGTGAGTGTGGGGGTGCTGAGGCCTACAGGTGGAGAAGACTTCGCGTGGCTTCAGTAACTCTGCCCACTTCCTCCTCAGCTCCATGACCATGCTGCGTACCTGGTGGACAGCCTCTGGGACTGTGCGGGGCCTCAGCTGAAAGACTGGGAAAGTCTCACGAGCCTCCTGCTGGAGAAGGACCAGAGTGCGTGCCACGTGGTAGCGGGTGGAAGGGGCCTTTCACCTCCAGGAAGAACGAGCCGAGGTTCTGTACTGGAAAGGGCACAAGTAGTAATGCAGTGGGGCGGAACTGAGGGAGGTGGAGAGTCTGATCTAGGATCCTGTGCTTCATTGCCGAGCCAGATCTAGGCGATGTGCAAGAAAGCACGCTGATAGAGATCCTCGTGTCCAGCGTTCGTCAGGCATCTGAGGCTCACCCACCGGTTGGTCGGGTCACTGGGAGGAAGGTAGGACATGGGATGGAGTTCAGCGTTCGCCCACACATAGACTGTTGCCTTCACGTAAGTCTCTTGGCAGGATATTCCGCTTTCCAACCCTCAGAGAAAAAATCATCTGAGTGGAGCTGTCATTTCTCATCTCTTCCTGGATAAATATGGGGGTGGGGATGGCAACCACATCTCTATCCTCTGGATGGAGTGTCTCCATACCTTTCTCCCCACACCCAAATGTCTTAATTCCAGGGCTTAACTTCGAAAGAACGGAAGATCCAAGCTGATGACAAGGTGAAACTGACTGAACACCTCATCCCTCTGCTGCCGCAGCTTCTGGCCAAGGTATCACTGGAAAGGAAGTGGCCCCATAGGCACTGGAATAAGAATGATAGGGCTGGAGAGATAGTCCAGTGGGAAAGGCATTTGCCTTGTGCTTTAGCCAAACTGGATTCCATCCCTGGCACTCTAGACGGTTCCTGGGGTCCCCCAGGAGTATTCCTGAGTACAGAGCAGGGTGTGGCCTCAGCGCCCAGAGTAAACAATGAACCATGTGTTTGCTAGTGACTAACCTCTCCCTCTTCTCAGTTCTCAGCTGATGCTGAGAAGGTGGCCCCCCTGCTTCAGCTTCTCAACTACTTCGACCTCCACATCTATTGCACCCGGCGCTTGGAGAAGGTAAAGAAAGGGCAGCCTGCTGCCCCCCTATTAGGTCCCAGGGTCCTACTGCCAGGATCTGATTCTTTTCCAGCACTGGAGTCCCCCAAATGAGCCTTCCCTTTTCCGGGCATCCTCTTCTCCAGGTGGGACGCTGCCAGCCTGCCTTGCCCCACTCCCTCCAGGCGTCCTTTCTCAGCACTGTCCCCAGTTTTCCCCCTGCTTTGCTTCCTCTCAGCACCTGGAGCTGCTCCTGCAGCAACTGCAGGAGGTGGTGGTGAAGCACGCCGAGCCAGCAGTGCTGGAAGCCGGAGCGCACGCCCTCTACCTGCTCTGTAACCCCGAGTTCACCTTCTTCAGCCGGGTGGACTTCGCCCGCAGCCAGCTGGTCGATCTACTGACCGACCGCTTCCAGCAGGACCTTGAAGAGCTTCTGCAGGTACAAGGGGGGGGGAGTAACAGGATACCCCCAGCCTGGGTGGGAACACCCCCAGCTCCTGGGTCAATGCCGTTGCCTTGCTTCCTAGTCGTCCTTTCTTGATGAGGATGAGGTGTACAGCCTGGCGGCTACTCTGAAGCGCCTTTCAGCCTTCTACAAGTGAGCAGCTGCCTCTTTCCTCTGCTTCTCCCATGACTGGAATTGTTTCTCTGCATCTGTTCCTGAGTGATAATTCTCTCCCTGCTCCTCCAGTGCTCACGACCTGACTCGTTGGGAGCTGTACGAGCCGTGCTGCCGGCTGCTGCAAAAAGCTGTGGACACAGGAGAGGCGCCACACCAGGCCAGCAGACGAACTGGAGATGGGGCAGGGGCTGGGGAGGAGTTTTCAAGGGCCTGTGCCCCAGATAGCCAGCCCTTCCGGGGATGTAGACAGGAGGAAATGAGCACTGTGCAACAGGGCTTCCTCCCTGCTGCCTGGGATGGAGGGCCCACTTTCCAGGGCCCAAGAACAGCGTCCATTGTTCACTTTCCTGAGAGGCAAGGGAAAATTGGGGGGGCTCAAGGAGACTGCACATAAATGTGGACCAGAAGGTAGCGTTACCACCCAGGGAAACATCTGTGAGGATTGGCAGAAATGGGTCTCTCTTAACCCTGTCTCCCCCGCTCCACTGCTCTGCGTGTAAGACTGCCTCGTGACCCTCGCTTTTCATTACAGATCATTCTGCCAGCCTTGACTCTAGTTTATTTTTCCATTCTCTGGTCACTTGCCCACATTTCTGGATCAGACACTTCCCAGGTGGGAACATGAGTCTAAGTGATGGCCTGGGAATAAGGGCGCCTGGCTTCAGTTCCCCTCCTCATACCATTGTCTCAACAGAAGCAAATCATGAGTCTGAAGGACAGAATGGTGGCCTTCTGTCAGCTGTGCCAGAACTGCCTCTCAGATGTGGATCCCCAGATCCAGGAGCAGGTGAGTGTCCACTCCGTGGTCCCAGGGAGGCCAGCCATCTCCCTTGTTCTGCAGATACCTGCCTTGGTTAATTCTGCCATTTAAAGTACACTTTCTCCTCCATCCCTCCCCCCCCCCACAGGCATTTGTCTTACTCAGCGACCTGCTTCTCATCTTCAGCCCTCAGATGGTTGCAGGGGGTCGGGATTTCCTCAAACCTCTTGTCTTTCTCCCCGAAGCTACTCTTCAATCTGAGCTAGCAAGCTTCCTCATGGACCATGTCTTCATCCAGCCCGGAGAACTGGGCAGTGGTACAGGGACTCACTGAACTCAGGGAGGGGCTGGGGGCTGAGGCCTGGATCGCATTTTTATGGTGCATTTGATATCCGCCAGGTCATTCCCAGGAGGATCATTTACAGATAGAGCAGCTGCACCAGCGCCGCCGCCTCCTGGCTGGGTTCTGTAAGCTGTTGCTTTATGGAGTGCTAGAGATGGATGCAGCCTCGGATGTTTTCAAACACTACAATAAGGTACAGCTTGAATGGTCAGGACTTCAGACACTGTCTCACTGCCAAAAGAGCCAATGGGGAGTTCCCTGACTCCCAGTGATATCGGGCTTAAAAGAAAAGTTAGAGCTTAGAATGAAGATACAGAAGACAGAGTAGTAATACTTGGAGAAAAAGCAGTTGAAAGGAAGAAGTTCATTGAGGTTAAACCTTTGATTCTGTCTATGCAGAAGTATTTTATAGCAATTTTTTTAAATCTCATGCTTAACTACCTGGCAGGATTCTACGCACATAAGGGCACAGCAGTGAACTAAGTTCCACTTTGTTCATGAACTGCCATTCTAGTGAGAGAGAAACAGGATGGTGGCATGAGTGCCGGAGTCAGTGGCTACTGGCAGACTTGAAGCTGACCTGCTGGTGTTTGAGAGCGCCCAACACTGGCCAGGCCAGGTAGTGTTTGCTAAGAGGGAAACACTTTATTGCAGTCTGGAGAGCAGGGACAATGTCCAGCTGGAATGAGGGACTTGAAACTTGTATCTTGTCTCTTTTGAGTTTGGGGACCTTGAGGTCATCAAGTAATTTGGCTTCCTAGATAAAAATGTGTTTTTTTATGCATTTCTTCCTAAAATATATTAGGATTTGACTTTGCTGTAAAAGACAAAAAGAAGGGTACAGGTCTGAGTAAATTTATGTTTGCCATTCTTTGCCTATAGAACACTGATATAGTTACTGATTTGGCAAAGTAGTTCACTTTATGAATGCTTTAAAAAGTTTTTTGTCTAATCCTTCCTTACATTATATATATATATATTTGTTTATATGTGTAATATGTGTGTATGCATACACTCACACACATATATACTGTGGGGGTCCTGGAATTGGATAAAAGCCTTTTGGGTAGGGGGAGTGAGGGCTCAAGGAGTTTTCTTTTAGAAGAAGGGTTTTTCTTCACTGAAAGTGGGGTCAGTTGTCTCAGAAGCTCCCAGGAAGTTAGGTTGAGAGCTTATCTGATGTTCCAGTTTGTCTTGTGCCTATTCATGACCGTTAATATGTAGAAGGCAATCTCAGTAAATTAAAACTTACTCATTCCAAGATTTTTTTCAAGTCTTTAAATATATTTTTAGCTATCTAGAGCTCCATTGAATAATGAAGATTAAGATTACTTGTTTTTATAATTTGCTAGGGCTTCAGGATCAACACCTGTGCGCTTTTAATCAACTGGCATCAAAGATTCTCTCAGGGAACTCAGACCATCTCCTAGTTTTCATTTTGCTTCCTTGAATTTCCAATATTTTGTAATTCCCTTCTGTAACCCACTAGGAATGCAGTCCAGTAATATGCCTGTGACCACGCTCATTGGGGTTCCACTGTGAATCTGTGACTGAAATAACGGTGGTTACAGGGAGTCTCACAGGATCGTTGGGGCTCTCTTTATGCTTCTTGAGGGGGCCTTCCTAAAATCATTCCTTTCTCAGAGGTCCAAGGGGAGTTGTTGAGGCCCTGAACCTCTTTTCAGTTGGAGTTCCAAGTATTAATTACAGAAGTTCCTTCTACTGTGATAAGTAGGCGGGACTATTTTTCCAGTCAGAGGTGGGAAATGGACTTGCACATGGAGTATGCTCTGGTTGGCCCTGCCCGTCTACTCCAGTGGACACCTGCCTGAAAGGGAGATGCCCTCTTGGGTTTGAATAGCTCCTCACCAAATCTGAGTGCTGCCTGTTAGGATGGGGAGACACCATTCCTTCTGGCAGTATCTAGTACCTCCCTAAGAAGAGTGATGGTAGGAGTCAAGTGTGAAAGTGACAATTCATTATTTAAATCAGGTTGAGAATCTGGTAAAACTAGTTTCTGTGGCTCAGCTCCCTCTCACTGAATCATAGTATGACACCTCTTGTACAGTTCTTATCCTAATACAGGTACAGGAAGGATTGGACAGGACAAGGTATAGATTTCATCCCATTTCTCTTGTTCCCTACAAACAGCTCTAGGTATAAAATTAGTGTAGTAGTTTAAGGACTTGTGCTCAGGCCAGTTTTCCCCTGCTTCAAGGGATTATCATGTCCAGAAAGTCACAGATAAAATAACATCTGTTCTAATTCACAGGCACATAACTATAGCTTGACTAATTCTGAAGAATACAGCACAGGGCACTATCAGAAGGAGTACCTTGGGTGTTTCCTATTTTGTCTTAATTTTATGGAAGTACAAACTACAGTCAGACACACAAATACATAACCATTTAACAAGTAGGTTATTATTTGCCAGAGCAAAATCTCAATCTTTGGGTTTTTGTTACAGTCACCAAGGAAGTTCAAGTCAAAACAGCAAAGTTCAATCAATCAAGACAGATAGATAGACTAAATATGACAAAAAAATAAATGTCCACCGTTGCACAATTTTAAAACCAGTGGTAAAGAATTATGGTGTACCTCAATCTTCCTTGTCAAGATGTATCAAATAACAAATCCAGAGCTCTTCTGACAAAACCAGAATCCCTCTAAGAAGAGCTTTAACAGCAAATCAGAAACCAAGTTGACCTCGAGTACCTCTCAGCTGTAACTTCCTTCTCTGTCACTGGTTTATTTCCTCGGGCTCTGTCCCAGAATCTGTTTCTTGGGGTTCTAATTGAACACCGTCACGAATGTTAACCTAACACGTAGGCCTCAAATTCAGAACTAGGCAGATGAAACTCCCCCAGTGGAGGCTCTAACCTCCGTTCTTTAGAAGATCGATAATAATGAAGGTCTTGGCACTTCCGGCAAGGCTGCTCACTGGACTCGGTGCCTCTGCAAGGAGACAGATGTGAACACCAAGTGGGGTTACTCACCCATGGACATCTCATTTGAGCAGTTTCTCCTCGCCCAAGAATGAAAACGTGCCAAAGGCGGACAGTCCCCTATCTGTCACCATCCAGACCAGTGGGTGACACCTGCTCTGGGTACAACTGGAAGGCACTTCTATTGTTGACGTAGAGAAAAGACTTTTCGAGGGATGCTGAGGGATTTTTTTTTCTTTGAAAATGGGGTAGTAAGCAAGGTAATTTGGGGATTCTGCTCTAGACAGAAGTGTCTAGGCAGCTGCAGAGCTCTATCTGGGTGCCTGTCTCTGGCGGTGGGACTGGGAGCAGGGACTGAGCTCCCCACTGCCCAGGGAAGGCCTGGCGCCTGGTGTGCCTGGGAGTCAGACCCCAGCACACTGCCTTGGCTAGAAGGAAAAGGCTCTTGCAGTCGGTAATGTAATGAAGCAGAAAAGCAGTGCTTGGGTTTACCTTTCTTTAGTTTTTATTACTTTTAATTATATTATTATTTTTGTAGAGTGAAGGAGTTGGAAGTTATCTGTTTCTTCAGAAACAGCAGAGGGACCCAGAGCAATAGTACAGCAGGTGGCTTGCACACGACAGACCTGGGTTCCAACAGGTACCCCATGTGGTCCCCCAAGTCCACCAAGCTCAGAAGCAATCAGGAAGTAGGGTCCAAGAAAAATATGGGATGGGGCACTTCTGATCCTTGAGCTTTCTGGGTGATTGTTGATAGTGTAAGGGGAATCCCAGAATGAGAGCAGGACGCCACTTCAACAGAGTGCCCCCACTCTCACCTTCTCGCTAAGGCAGCTGGAAGCTGAGAACCACCCGGTCTGTCTGGACTGGGGGCTGAGGGCTACCTTTGGCAGGCAAAGGAGAGACCCTCCTGTCTGCAGCTCTGGGTTCTGTCTATTCTCAGAAGACACAGAGGCAACAAAGATGGTCCCTGCAGAACTCTCTCTGACTGGGTCTCCTGGATTTATGTGTTTATGGGGGGAGGGTTGTGGTGCCTAGGGATGTCTCCCAGCTCTGTACTCAGGATTTGCTCCAGAAGGTGCTCGGAGGATCAAGTGGGGCTGGGGATTGAACAGGATCAGCGTGTACAAGTCAGAGCCTTAACTGCTTTTTTTTTTTATCTAGCCCTTTTTCCCCCAGGGAGCGGGGTACACCCAGCAGGGCTCAGAAATCCTGGCGGGCTCAGGGGACTGTGTGGGGTGCTGGGGACCAAACCTGGGTTGGCCGCGTGTGAGGCAAATGCCCTCTTCACTATCCTGTGACTCAAGCCTTCTAGGTAGGTTTCTTGGTGGTCTGGACCTTCAGCTTTTAGGTGGCTTATGGTCTTTCGGGCTTTCAGATCATGTCTAGTTTAATGACTTTATGAAATTTATTGCCTAGAGATCTGTTAGCTGGCAGCCTCCCTTTGATATATTTTCTGTGCAGATTCTCTTAAAATTTGACTCATAATAAGTGTAGACATTGTTGGCTACTTTGAAGGTAAGAAGAGATGGAGAGGGGGCATTTCAGCTGAGTGATTTTCTGCTTATTGTATGAAATAGTCTTGGGTTTTTTGGTTTTGATTTTGTTTTGGGGTGGGGACCACACTCAGCGATGCTCAGGGCTTCTCCTGGTTCTGTGCCCCAGTGCCTGGGGGACCAGATACAGTGCCCAGGATCAAACCCAGGACAGCCAGATCCGAGGCACATCTCTCCCTATAAAGAATTTCAGGGTTTGGGGGGGTTTCCATTTTTCCTTTTAGCTCTTTTGGGTCACATCTGGTGATGCTCAGGGGTTATTCCTGGCTCTGCACTCAGGAAGTATTACTGGTGGTGCTCTATGGGATTCCAGAGATTGAACCCAGATTGGCTTATGTGCAAGGTGGGCGCCCTCCCCATATTTACTCTATCCAGGCCCTGAAATAGGTGTTTTCTGTGTCAAACTCAAATTTATCAAAGTCGGTAGCCTTGACTTGGTAGAGCCTCAGTTTCAGGCTCACTTCTTTGGTTTGTTCGGGTTTTTGTTTCTGACTCACACACAGCTGTGCTCAGTGCTTTCTTCTGGCTCGGTGCTCAAGAATTACTCCTGGTGGTGCACAGGGGACCATTGGGATGCCGGGGGTCAAACCCAGGTCAACTGCAAGGCAAACATCTCACCTGCTGTGCTATCACTGCAACCTTTTCAGGATCAACAGCTTTTATTCCAAGAGGGCTTGGTTGTTTCTTTTCCCTCTAGATTAGCATAGCAGGTAGGGCGTTTGCCTTGCATGCGGCCGACACGGGTTCCATTCCTCCGTCCCTCTTGGAGAGCCTGGCAAGCTACCAAGAGTATCCTGCCCACATGGCAGAGCCTGGCAAGCTCCCTGTGGTGTATTCGGTATGCCAAAAATAGTAACAAGTCTCACAATGGAGACATTACTGGTGCCCGCTCCAGCAAATCAATGAACAAGGGGAAGACAGTGCTACTTTTTGGGAGGTAGGGGGTATTGTTCATGGTCTTTGGCCATTTCTGGAGGCTTTTGACCAACCAGGCCAGAATTTAATACTAGGGTCCAGCATTGCTAGGGATTACCTGAATGCCCCACGCCCCCACTGCCAGTGTTGCCAAACCCTGGGGTTCAGGGGTGGGCCTAGGTCTCGACCATGCAGGCAGGTGCTCTAACGGCTCTCCTCTCTCTGCCCGTATCCACTACATATCTTTGTCTGAGCTAACATCTTTTAGCTTTGTACTTCCTGACTGAGAGAAAGCTTCCTTGTAGTTGCTCCTGTTTTGTTTTGGTACCACACTCCTAGATCTGTGCTCAGGGACAATCCTGGCCATGTTCAGTGATTCCAGCACACATGCAAGGCAAACGCCCCACCTGCTGTACTCTCTCTGGCCCTCATCTGAGTCATTTTGTGCTGAAATCCATGTTTCCCTGCCGAGTGCCCTTTTGGAATAAGACATAATTAGGAATTTGAAGGAAGGAACTGATGTCAGTGGGGGAGGTGGGAGGAAACTAGGTACCCTCAGTAAAAGAGCCTTGGTCTCCCCAGAAGTGCCCTGGGGGTCATGGTTTAAAGGCCTCCTGCCCCCCACCCCATGCAGATCTAGTCTTCCCCAGCCCCATAGGTGGCTGAGGCTGCAGCCACTCGGAGAAATTGCCCTTTGTAAGAAAAGGAAAGTCACTTCTCACCTCACAGAAAAGAATGTCAAGAGGCAGCCAGAGCCATAGTGCAGGGGGCAGCTTGGGCCTTAACACATGGCTGACCTGGGTTCAGTCCCCAGCATTTCAGAAAGAAAAATGAGAAAAAGAAAACTTTATTGACAGTAAGCCATTAGGTGAGAAGCTGGCAGGCTCCGATCTTCAAAGTAACCTCTTGTTTGCATCAGTCACAGGAAATCGTTTTTATAAAAAAAGAGAACGGGGTGCTCCTTTTCAAAAGAGGGTGCTGCAGACCGGTGAGGATAGGGGTGACCAGTAGATTCCCTGGGCTGCTGCGGGTTCCCTGAAGACCAAATGTCCACAGACGCAGGCCAGGGTTCCGGGTGAGGCCTCACCCTGCCACCAGATCTTGGCTTTTGGCAAGACAAATTCCCTATCCACAAGAGCTCACCGGTTTTTCATTTTAAATTCAGTTCTAAATGTACACTAGTTTCAGAAAGAAAGTAGACTTTTTTTCAAAAATTTTATTTTCCAAGGCAGTTGAGATAGAGAAGGGTCCACCAAGCAAAGGATACTTGGAGGGCTCACTTGGGATGGGAGATGAGCTGTGAAAATAGAATATAGACGGAACATGATGGCCATTTAATACCTGTATTGCAAACCACAACACCCAAAAGGAGAGAGAGAGAGCAAAAGAGAATGTGCCTGCCACAGAGTTGGGGGGAAGAGGGTGGGCTGTGGTGGGAGGGATACTGGGAACGCTGATGGTGGAGAATGAGCACTGGTGGAGTGATGGGTATTCGACCATTGTAGGACTGAAACATAATCACGGAAGTGTGTAAGTCTGTAATTGTATCTCATGGTGTTTCATTAAAAAAATAAAAAACATGAAAAATAAAATTTTTCTTAAAACTTAAAAAAATTTTTTTTCTTTTCCATTTTCTCTCATTCAGTACTATAATGATTATGGTGACATTATCAAGGAAACATTAACTCGAGCGAGGCAGATTGACCGAAGCCACTGCTCCCGAATCCTGTTGCTGAGCCTCAAACAGGTACCCCTAAACCTGCAGCCCACAGACTGACTCTGCCTCAACCCACCATTCTAGAAAGGTTCCCAAGAGCAGGAATTTGCTCATTGAGTTTTTATTTCTACAAGACAGTCTCCTTCACAACTAATAGAGTTACAGAAAATAAGTTTTTTTTTTAACTGACCAGTATCATGTTACGGAATTGTAACTGTCAGGATGTGGGAGCAGGAAACTGCTCAGGAATCCCTCATCTTCTCTCTCAGCCCCTCGTTGCTTCACACTTCACCTGGCTGCCTGGAGAGCGACCCAGCGCCTTCTGGCAGGGAGCAGGGCAAGTCCGTGTCCTGAAAGGGAAGAGTAGAAGTGGCTGCGGTTCTAGACAGAGCAGGGAGCGCTGCTTGCGTTGCATCGCATTGCATTTCTCCCTCCCCTGTCTCGTGACAGCTGTACACAGAGCTGCTGCAGGAGCACGGGCCCCAGGGCCTGACCGAGCTTCCAGCTTTCATCGAGATGAGGGACCTGGCCCGCAGGTTCGCCTTAAGCTTCGGACCCCAGCAGCTGCAAAATCGTGACCTTGTGGTCATGTTGCACAAGTAAGGACGCATCTTGAGGGTGATGGTACTCGAGTACTAGAGACATGTTCCGGGACCATGGGGAGCAATGTAGAGGGAGGGCCCGCTTGAGAAGCACTGCCAGGGGTCAGGAGTGATAGTATAGGCGGGAATGGTGCTTGTCTTGCATGTAGTCGATGTAGGTTCGCTCCCTGGCATCCCATTTGGCTCCCCAAGGACCACCAGGAGTGACTCCTGAGTGCAGAGCAGGAGTAACCCTGAGTGAGCATCACCAAGTGTGGCGTCCTCCCCCCCCCCCCCAAAAAAAAAAGTGCCACCAGAGAGGGGTGTGTGTGTGTGTGTGTGTGTGTGTGTGTGTGCGCGCGCACATGTGTGTACGTGTACACACTGGGGATGGGGTAAGCGCCTGCACAGGAGTGCTTAGCCCTGGGGGCACGGGGGAAGAACTTGGTTCCTAAAAGAATTCTGCCCAACCAGGGAAGGCATTAAGTTCTCCTTGTCTGAGCCACCTCCTACTGGCTTCAACCAGCCCCCGAATCTGGCATTTCTGGAGCTGCTAGCAGAGTTCTCCCCGCGACTCTTCCAACAGGACAAAAAGCTGCTGTGAGTAGGGGTGGCTCCCGTGGGGTGAGGGAAACTCCACCAGAGGCAACAGCTGTTCCTTCTCTTCATCCCACCCCTCCGCTTCCTCAGATTGTCCTATCTGGAGAAGAGTCTGCAGCGTGTCTCCCAGATCCCTGGCCTGACCTGGGCTCCAGTGAGCACCTATAGCCATTCCCTCAGCCCAGTGGAGAGCACCGTGGAGACCACCCCCCAGAGTCACCCCCACCCCAAGAAGAGGCGAGTGGAAGGTAATGTGTGGCGGGACCAGTGGCACCTGGGCTTCTGGCCTTAGCTAAAGTGTTTTCACTGAGCTGCTGCTGTTTGCTATCATTTACGATGCTTGCTTGCTTTTTTTAGTTTGTTTTGTTTGGGGACCACACCTGGCAGTGCCCAGGGTTTACTCCTGGTGGTGCAGGGGGACCATGTGTAGTGCTAGGGATCTGACTGCGCAAGTGCCATACCTCTGCTTTCACTCACTCGCTCTCTGACCCTGAAGAGATGGTTATATTCTAGATACAAGTCCCTTACCAAAAGATGCTGTACATGTTGCTTCCATTCTGTAGTTTATCCTTTCAGTTTCTCATTTGTGTTCTTTTTTTTTTAACTCAAAAGTAGTTAATTTTTATGAATTCCAGCCTATTTTTCCTTTTGCTCTGTGTGCTTTCGGTGCCATTTTGTTGTTGTTATTATAAATATTTGAGCCCTTGGCTTTCCATATGCCCTTCCTAGCAGAGCTCTGCTGAGAATGCTATTTTATCTCTTTCCTCTGGCATTTGGAAAAGTCCTGTTTCCTATTTCTTTCTACCTCTCAGCCCCTTATCATAGCAGCTTTTGGACTTAAGATGCCATTGTCATTTCTTTTGAGGGGGAGGCTGTGAGGGCTGCACCTGGCCATACTTAGAGTACCATGAGGTACCAGGAACCAAACCCAGAGCCTGGCACAAGCCACATCCCCAACCCTTCTGTTGTCATTTGGAGCTTTCCTTTCTCAGATGTGGGAATTAAAGCCCATCTCTCTCATTCATGTTTAGATAAATACTGTTTCCCTGTAAATAGATAGGTTTATTGCTATTTCTCAGGCTGGAACGATAGCACAGCGGGTAGGGCGTTTGCCTTGCACACTGCCAACATGGGTTCAATTCCACCATCCCTCTCGGAGAGCCCAGCAAGCTACGGAGAGTATCCCGCCTGCATGGCAGAGCCTGGCAAGCTCCCTGTGGCGTATTTGATATGCCAAAAACAGTAACAAGTCTCACAATGGAGACGTTACTGGTGCCCACTCAAGCAAATCGATGAACAATGGGAGGACAGTGCTACAGGACAGTGCTAGCTATTTCTCAGTTCTGTACCAGGTTTCCCTCAGACACACTTGGTTTCATTCTATTCTCCTGACCTTTTAGTTCACAGGGATATCCGCATGGAGAGCAAAGGCCCCCACACCCCTGAGCCTGCTGTCTTTAAGCGAATGAAAGGTCCCCCCAGTGGCACCTGAGGCCATTTCCACCCCCACCCGTCATTCCAGCATGGAAGGCGTGTCTCGATCCACTTTGGGAACTGCCCACAGGGTCTGTCCCTCCTCCAGTCCTAATGTGAGGCCGTCCCATTCCCCACTCTCTGCTTTCTCAACTGTCCCTTCCCTATACTGGGGGGATTGCTCAGGGTCTGGACACCTTTATGCCTGAGGCCCTGGGTGATCCCTGGTAGAACTGAGACCCGCATGCTGGCAGGTGCCTTGGGTGGCCCTGGAGCATCACCACCGTGTCAGGCCACTCTGCTGGTGGAGTGGCCCCCGAGATATTTGGGAGCCCCCCTCCCCCCAAGAAGAGCACCATGGCAGTTGGTGTACACTGTGTGTGCGCATTTCCCTTTGCAGGCCCTTCCAGGCGACACAAGGACGACATCCCTCTGTGCCAGGAAGAAAACCTGCCCCTGAACCGCGTCCTGCCCGCACCCACCCTCACCTCCACGGCTGTGAAGAGCAGGCAGCCACTGCTGGTGCTGAAGGAAGTAGAGGAAGTTGGTTCGGAGCCCGAGGCTGCCGCAGGGTGAGGCGCAGGGAGCTTGCCTTGTCGCTTCTGTTCTCTAGACCCTCACCTTCTCCAGTCCTCTTCTAATTTTTTTTTGCTTTAGAATTTGTCTTTTCAGGGCTGGAGCAATAGCACAGCAGGTAGGGCGTTTGCCTTGCACGCAGCCAACCTAGGTTTGATTCCCAGCATCCCATATGGTCCCCCGAGCACCGCCAGGAGTAATTCCTGAGTGTATGAACCAGGAGTAACTCCTGTGCATCGCTGTGTGTGGCCCAAAAAGAGAAAAAAAAATGTTGTCTTTTCCTAAAAAAGCAAGAAAAAGATCCAACATCTTTCCTAACCACTTTTGTGCCTTAGTGCAATAAATGCCTCTTTACCCCTCCCTCTGTCTTGGGTTTTTCCCAGCGGTGTGCAGGGATCACTCCCAGATCTCACTCTAGAATTCCTTCTGGTAGACCTCGGGAACCCTGTGGGATATGGGGGATGGAGCCCGAATTGCTGCATGCAGAGCGGCCACACCGTGGCTCTGGGTTGATTGACCCTTTCCAGTTTGCTCAGTCATTGATTCTGCTTCTTCCCAGCAGCTCATCCCTTTCAGGCACCCAGAGGTCAGGCCTCTCGAGCCCGCCTCGCTTCCCGACACCATTCAGCACTTCATGCTCTGGGCTGGGCAGCCGGCTGACACGGTGGGCTGTTTGTTCTCTTCACCTGCCACCTTGGGACCCCACCTGTCACCCCAGCAAGGAGCTTGCCCCTTTCCTTTACCCATTGCCTCTGGGCCAGGATTGGGGGCTTTTAAGCAAGGAATCTGCCTTGCAGGCCAATGTCCCTTGAGTATAAAACCAAGAGAAACAGCTGCTAGCTTGGGGGGGCGGGAGGGGAGAGAAAAGCACCTCTGCCTACAGCCCACCTGCGCCCCAGGGCCTTTGAGTTCTCAGGGACCTTAAAAACAGTTTGGACCCTGTCTGCCCCCCACATCTGTCCCATAGCCTCAGCCTTATGGAAGAGGACGAGGAGGAGCTGGCAGAGCAGAGCGAGTTGGGTGGAGAATGGCAGGTCGAAGATAAGGTGAGTGGCCTGGTCCCGCCTCCCTCTCCATCAGGGACAGGGAGAGGTGGGAGGGGCGCTCCTGGCCGCCTGGGTGGCACCTTGTCTTGGACATGTTGAAGATGGTTTTGGTGGTTTGAGGGGATCCCCAGTGTGCTAGCTACCTCCCTTGCCTCTGATAAGGACATTTTGAAAGAATGAGAGTAAAGGAGAGAGGTTTGTAAGTTGCCATTTCATTTTGCTAGACTTCTGTTTGTTTTTGGGTGCTAGCACCCTTGGGTGCTAGGCTGGGAAGGGTTACTCCTGACTCTGTGCTCAATAATCATTCCTGGCATTCCCTGGGGGTGGGGGGTGGGGGCAATGGGATGCCAGAGATCCAAGCCCCACAGCCCTCTCCACTGCTCTCACCTTTTTGCTACAACTTTTATTAAAATTAAGGGGCCAGGTTTAATTAAATTTTAATTACATTTTTAATTTTATTACAAATTTTCATTTTTATTAAAATCAAGTCCTCAGTACTGAGAGTCCAGAGCTGAAGAGGAGCAGTGTTTGGCCCTGCCTTCCCTGCCCGCCCTGAGGGTTTCCTAGCACCTTTCTGCAGCTGCCCAGGAGAGCATGTGGCTCCATAGGGCTGAGAGGCTTCAGCCTACCCCCCTGTCACCCTCCTGGCTTCCTCTGAAATGAAGCTCTGCGACAAAATGCAGTACAAAGGCCCCTCTAAAGTGGAAGTGGCTGGGTGTGCCTGCCTGCGTGGAGTGAAAGAAAGCCACGCTGCAAGAGCTTCCCACGAGAGAAGAGAAAGTCCTCTGAATTATCTTCCCGAAAGTTCTCTTGGGGAAAAAAATCCATTCTGTTTCCCAAATCCAGCAAATCTGGGGACTCCATTATGGGCCCAGGAGCGTGTCACAGTGGGCTCTGGCTGCCTTGCCTTGACCACCCTCCCTGACCACTCCAGGGCCCGCGGGAGACAGATGGGGAGCATGGTGGCTGGTGCACTCTGGCAGGGAATTCTGATCTTTGCTCTCACTTTTCTCTAGCAAGCAAGTGGCCTGTCTTCGCCCAGTGAGCATGGCCTGGACCTTCTAGATTCCACAGAGGTGCTTCTGGAGGTACGCAGCAGCACAGGTGGTGAGGCGCCGTCTGGAGGTGTTGTGGGCCAGGGAGAGGACAGGGGTTCTTAGCTGGAGGGGGTGAGTGGCAGATCCTGCCCATGGGAGCTCTCAGGAAGCCCGCGTGGGGGAGGGAGGCCTTCCTGCAGCTGGTGCCTCTTTGCTTTTTGGGTCATACCCGGGGATGCACAGGGGTTACTCCTGGCTCTGCGCTCAGGAATTACTCTTGACAGTGCTCAGGGAACCATATGGGATGCTGGGAATCAAACCCAGGTTGGTCGCGTGCAAGGCAAATGCCCTCCCTGCTGTACTATCGCTCCAGCCCCAGCTGGCGCCTCTTCTTAAGTGGCATCTTTCTTCTCACAGGATTTCTGACAGGCCTCTGACCCACCCCAGAGACACAGAACAGGGCAGGAGGGACCAGGACTGCGTACCTGCCTGAGCCTCTGGGGAAGAAGCAGAGCTATTGCCTTGAGCCCGGTTCCAGGAGGCTGAGCCACAGAAGCCTTGGGTCATTCTCCCGAGGCTGCATGCAGATGCCTATCTCTGGCAGTGTTTGGAAGAATGGGTGTCGATGGGGGGGGGGGGGGGGGAAGGGGGCGGAAATGCTGCCTCCCTGGACTGGATGGAAGGAGCTCTGGAGTTTACTTGTATTTTGGGGAACATCTTTCCCAACCACTTTTGTGCCTTAAAGATTAGTGCAATAAATCTATTTGGCTTGTTGGTTCCCTGGTGTGTTTGGAGAATGCAACAGCCCTCAGGCTGTTACTCCACATTGGGGGGCTTTGGGGCGCGTGTCTCTAGCACAGGAGCTGGAAGGGGGATTCTGGCTGGCTCCCACATGCAGGCCAGGCCTCACACTGGTAGCTCTTGCCCAGGGTTCACAGTGCAAATTATTGCTCTCCCAAAGACACACGTCCTGCAAGAGTCGGAGTTACTCTCCATGTCTGACCCCCAGATTCTGTACACCTGTCTGCATCTTAGCCTGCCCCAGCTACTGCTTCATCGTCTGTCAGGCCAATCTCCAGAACCATCCTGCCCTGTCCCCTCGCGGGCCACTCTCACGCACTGTCTGGAAACACACGTTTCCCTCCATCCCACAGCACCCGCATGCTGCCGCACCTCCTGCAGTCCTTCCTCCTGTGGCTTAGGGGCCCTGCAGCTTCTCTGGGAGATGGAATTTCCAGATCTTCCCTGTACTGAGCACCAACCTGCGGGTTCCTTCTGAGTTTCCCATGCTGGACACAGCCATCAGCATGTGCACCGTCTGCAAGCAGGGACTTGGTCAGTTGCCAAAGCCACTTCCCCCTCCAGCCTCTCAGATGCAAACTAGAGGTGGGTTTGCACGTGTCCTTTGGGAAATCTGCAGCTGCCCATGCCTAGGTAGCTGCTGACTCAGCTTCAGCCTGTTGGGGAGACACTGAGAGGGGTTTGCTGGGCTGCGTGGACAGGGCAGGCACCCAGGCGAGGCTCCTTAGATCACAAAGGACCCTGAGGGGAAGGGGATCGTGTTCATTCACCACCAGCCCAGCTGAGGTGCTTCCAGGCCAAAAGAGGAATGTGGGAGCTGTCAGCGTGGGCTCTCTGCTCAGCCACACAGCCCCAGTGTGAGGCGGGGGAGCCCCCCGTCTCAGAATCTGCCCCCATGACTTCTACCTTACTCCCTAAATACAAATGCCTGGCTGCGTGTAACTGAGTGTGGGTCTAGAGCCTTCCTGCTCCACCGTGAGCTAGAGTGATTAGCAGAGGGGACTGGGGTGTGGCTCCATGAAACATGCAGGCCTGGGATCGCCCCCAGCACCCAGCCAGCTGTGAAGGGGGTGATGCTGGGTTAAGGCCTTAAAGAAACTGGCAGTTTGTATCCTTTTTCCTGAGCGGCTCACTTTTGGACCCCACATGCCACTCAGCTGCATGGGAAGGCTTCCTGGAGGTGCAGAGCCTCCTGTCAAGCCACTATGGCATCAGGAATCGGCACCATCTCCAAACCTGACCCATCAACTGAACGTGCAGTCAGCATGTGACTCCAGAGCACAACCTGACACACTGTCCTTATCAGTTAAGCATTTGAAACCTTACAGAAAAATTTGTGATTTTTTTTTTTTTGGTCTGTACACTGCAGTGTAATGGTTGAACTAATGAAATAGTGTCTGAAATGCTGATGACTGGGCTTTGGAAAGGGAGGAGGCCACTTCTGTGTCTCCCCCACCACGTGTGATGGTGGAGGAGGGTGGGCTGGTTGAAAGGAATCTCTTAGGGGCTGGAGTGATAGCACAGCGGGTAGGGTGTATGCCTTGCACGCAGTTGACCCAGGTTCGATTCCCAGCATCGCATATGGTTCCCTGAGCACTGCCCGAGTGCAGAGACACAGAGCCAGGAGTAACCCCTGTGCATCTCCAGGTGTGACCCAAAAAGCAAAAAAAAAAAAACAAGGAAGGAATCTTTTCAGCTGGCCAAAAATGGTTAAAAGTGAAAAATGCCAACTTAGGTTTTTTTTCCCTCTAAAAATATTTTAGTGATCTCTATGTGAGAAACATTTTTCAAACCGTAGCTAAAAACTTTGAAGTAGAAAGTTGCTTATTTTATTATTTTTTAATGTAGGAGTATTGCTATTTATTCATCCATTGATTAGGCTGATTGAATTGGTCATGAACTCCGCCTTTTTCTTTTTTATAAATTTATTTATTGAATCACCGTGAGAGCAATTAAAAAGCTTTTGGATTTAAGTGTTGGTCATAACAGTGATCAAATACCCATCCCTTCACCAGTACCCATTTTCCACCCCCAAAAAACCCAGTATACCCCTCATCCCACACCCTCCCCCTACCGTGGGGCAGATAATTTTCACATTACTCTCTCTACTTTCGTTACATTCAATATTTTGACACCAGGCCCATCATTATTATTTGGGATTTTACTCCAACACTCAGATCTGCCAAAAGGCAACCGTAGGCAATTTGTTTTCTATTGCTGGTTATGAATAACATGATGTCTCACAGTCGCAGTAGTGGCCGTGTGATTTTGGAATTTCGAAATTTTAGCAATTAAATCTGGAGGGATTTCTACCAAAACCTGCTGGGTTCCAAGATTTGTTCCTGAGTCTCTGGGATCATGACTGTTAAACAGCTTGATCAGGAGCCAGAGAGGCCATTTGTGGGGTCTCGTTGGGGCAGGGAGGAAAGGGTCAGTTCTGCCCCCATCCCGTGAGGCCTTGCGTGTCTTGTCACTGCGGGCCCAAATCTGACTGTTCAGTGGCCTCTGGAGGATGGCGGCCACTGGGCCGCCAGGGGGAACAGGTCAAGGCATGAAACCTTTTCCCACCTGGGGTGGCCCTGTAACCTACGGGGACCAGACGCATTTCTGCCAAAAGTTGCTGGGTTCTGAGATTTGTTTCTGAGTCTCTGGGATCATGGCCCTTAAGCAGTTTGGTCAGGAACCAGAGAGGCCTTGCCTCCAATTATATAGCTGAGCTGGAGGTGGTTTGTGGGTGTGTCTCCCACATACCTAACTTTTGGCCATTTACTTTCTTGGTAAACTTGGCCCCAAATTTTTGGGGTCTGGCCAAAGGTACAGCAGCAATTTTGGGGTATCTAGAAGTCTGAAGTCGCCATCAGGCTCCTGATGCACTCGCCTCACAGGTACAGATTGACCTGCTGGCGGCACCATACCCCATCAGTTTTTGGTTTTGTTTTGGGGACACACCCAGGAATGCCCAGAGATCATTCCTGGCAGGGCTCGGGGACCACTTGGCCTGGGATGGAACCAGGGTCACCTGCGTGCCTGGCAAGTGCCCTACTAGCTGTACTGTCACTCCAACCCCCACTTGTCATTAATTTTCCCTTCATTAGTATGGAAAAAATGCTTCTCAAAAACATACAGAACCAGATGTTAGATGAGTTAAAAATAAAAAAATTCCCTGAAATTCTTTTAGATTTTAAAACAAGTCGGTGTAAATAGTATTCTTAGAGAGGCCAGAGCAATAGTACAGTGAATAGGGCATTTGCTTTGTACGTGGCCAACCCGGGTTCAATTCCCAGCATCCCATATGGGCCCCTGAGCACCAGGGGTAATTCCTGAGTGCAGAGCCAGGAGTAACCCCTGTGTATCGCCAGATGTGACCCCACAAAAAAAAATAATTTTCTTAGAGAGGTTGCGGTGGTTTAGACCACACCATCCTGTGACAGGAAGCCCGTCGTATTAAGTAACAGTTGTACACAACCTCAGACCTTTAGATGCCCATCTTCAAGGTAAACTATGAACACATTAGGAGACCACTGAGGCCACCAGTCTCATCTAAACAATAACAAGAAGTAACTTTATCCCAAGGCCAAAAGGTACTCGGGGTCTGGGGCCACTAAAGCCTGCTGGTGGCAGGAACCACCAGGATTAGCCAGAGGTGCTCAGAGCACCATGAGGTACCAGGGATCAAACGGGGGCATCTACCATCACCACAGCTTCCGCTTGATTATACTTTGATCTGTAAAATTTAGAAGCATTTATTTTTCCTGCAGGACCCTGTGAATGTTTTGGGCACGGTTAGAATCACATACACATGCACTTGCACACCACCCTATCCCCACCCCAACCCCAGTCAGCCTCAGCCTGGAAGGGTCTGGAGCCTGGAGCCTCTGTGCTCTACCGCACCGCCAAGCAGTGCCTTACAGGGGACAGCAGCTTTCTACCAGATAACGCTTTTGAATGATTTCTAGGATCATTTCTATCCTAGAAACAGCCCAATCATTCTTAGGGACTGGAGCGATGGTACAGCGGGTAGAGTGTTTGTCTTGCATGTGGTCAACTGGGTTTAACCTCAGACACCCCATATTAGCCCCCTAGTCCTGCCAGGAGGGATCCATGAGCACTTCCATTTATGGCCCAAAAAACCCCAAATTAAAATTATTCTTCAATGCAGATGATGTGAAAATTCTTAATGTGTTCAGTTGGAACAGTAGAAAGACACAGTGATGTGTGTGGCCAGGAAGAAGCCGTGAATGATAAAAGAACCCACAGAACCTGGCAAGGGCTTCAAGCAGGCACTGGAAGCCTGAGTCCCAGCAAACTGGAAGGAAGGAGATTTCGCCTGGGGGCTAAGGAGACCCAGTGCATGTTCTGCCACAGGAGCACTGGGTCTTCTCCCCAGCACCACATGGTTCCCACAATACTGCCATGCAGGGCCCAAGACAAACACACAGATTCGAGGTTGGACCAGGGAAGAGGTTGAGGGTGTAGGGAAAAGCCAACAGCATCACCCCTGCCAGGACAGGGGGGCACCTGACCCCGAAACAGCGCTTCTTCCCACTGGGCACAAACCTGCTCATTGCATTCCAGCTTTTTAACTGTGTGTGAGCAGCAGCTCAGCCCGGCTGGTAACTGCCGGTTCCAGAGAGGCAGCTTCACCAGGGTCGCATCCTGGCTCATTGCAGTAGCCTCACAGTGTTGGGAAGAGCTTTCGTTCCTAAGGGGACATGTGCGAAACCAATTTGTGAGTCACTCCAATTAAATTTAGCACAGAGTCTACATTCCGTGTTACTGTTTATTCTGTTACTTACACAAGAGCCCAAGTGGCCTTTCCCACATCTGAGATCTGTGCAGAAAAGAAAGGAGTAGCTGTGTCACTTTACAGACCTGGGCTGGCCACAGATCCTGAACACCGACAAGCTATGAGGGCGGGGCAAGATGTGCGCCAGTGCCAACCCCTCCCCACTTCCTGCACTCTGTCTGTCAGTCACCCCAAAGCAGGAAGATTCTTGTGGGCGCATCACCACTTTGTCTGTGCTTGCATCACTAGATCTTGGCGCCAGCCAAATCCTCGGCACAGTGCTCACCACAGGGGCCGTTTTCAGCACCGCAGAACCAATGAGATTTCACCGGAAATGTAAGCGGAAGTTGACTCCTACTATACCTGTGCCCCCAACCTTGGCTGTGTCAGCTGTTTCCACTCACTACCCCTTTTCCTCAAGAAATGCAACAAGAAATGGACAAGCACTGCCAGAAACCACACTCTTTTTGGTGATTTGCATTCAGAAGCCTTTTTACTATGGGGCTGGAGAGCTCAGTGGGTAGGACCCTTGCCTTGCACAAGGCTGGGAGAGGTTTGGTCCCCGCAACCATGTACCGTCCCCCCAGACTCACCAGCAGTCACCCCTGAGCACCACTGGGTGTTGGTCCTGAAACCAAAACAGACATTTCACTGTGGCCAGCTGTTCCGCGACTGTGGGTTCATGACCCGGGGCTCACCGGAGGCGACGCTCCCCTCTGCCCGCTTTCAGCTCGCCCCTTCTCTGCCCTGTGTGTTCCCCTTAGGTGGCGCAGCCTGGATCTGAGCTCTCTTCCCGGGGAGATGGTTCTTGCCACAGCCCCACTTTAGGCCCTGCCCAGGGCTTGGCCTGCGGGGGTCCTGGTTCCCCGCTGACCGCTGACCGGGCGAGGCCTGAGCCCCCAACTCACAGGAGGCCACGCCCAAGGAAGTGGAAGCCTTGGTGTGGGCTGTCACCTAACGTAGGAGGGAGCGCTGGGTCCTGCCCCCCACGCTGAGGTTGACTGAAAGGAAGTGTGGTTTAACGGAGCACGGGCTGGCGGCTGCTGGGCCTGCGCCGTTCTAGCCAGGCCCGGGCGGCCATGGACAGGCCCCTGGCGCTGCTCCCACTCGCGGCGCTGCTGACACTCTGCATCACGGCTGGTAAGGGGCAGCAGCAGGAACTGGGGCGGGCGGGCCGGGACCAGGCCTGGACCTCCCCACTCCTGTATTCTTCAGGGACCCCCGACGTTTGGATGCGGGTTGAGATGGAGGCCGAGAGCCTGTCCTTCACCGTCCACTGTGGCTTCCTGGGGTCTGGATCGCTCTCCCTGGTGACTGTGAGCTGCGGAAAGTCGGAGACGGCTCAGGGGACCAAGCTGGCCGTGCTGTCCCCCGAGTCGGGCACCTGGCACTGGGACCCTGACTGCCAGGCCCGCTGGGAGACCAGAAGCAGCATCTCCCTGACCCTGAAGGGATCGGAGGGCAGAAGCCTTAGCCCCAACACCACCTTCTGCTGCAAGTTTGTCTCCTTCCCCGAGGGCTCCCAAGAGGCCTGTGGGAGCAGCCGGCTCAGCACTGACCCAGGTGGGCTGCTCAGGGGGACACGGGGGCCCAGGCACCGCCACCCTCTTACGCTCTCCTTTTGCTTAGGGCTTCCTGCGCCTTCTCCTGCCTCTGGACTGCGGGCAGACCTGGCCGGGATCTGGGGGGTGACCGGGGCCCTCCTCCTCGGCTGCATCTACCTCCTCCACCTTCTGTATCGGCAAAGGCATCGGTGGGAGCCGCCCGCAGGCCCCGCCACACCCCAACACACTCCCGGGTCCCTCCGAGACCCCCAGCTACTCCACAGCCAGCCCCGGACACCGCAGCAGGTGAGGGTGAGGATGAGGGGGTGCGTCTGCATCGGGATGGGATGGGGTGGGCCCTGGAGGCAGAGCTCACTTGGCCTCTCCCCCACAGGCAGCCAGCAGAACCTTCCAGACCTCGTTCCCTCTGCCCTCGGCCAGCCTCAGCACCAAATCCTGCTTCCCCACAGCCCTGCACGCGGGGCCCTGGGCCCTGCCGCCACCACCTCCACCTGCCACCCGGGCAGCGCTGTACGCCACAGCCCGCGGCAGATTCGTCTCTGTGGAGAACGGACTCTATGTTCGGATGGACGAGACATCCCTCATCTCTTTCCTGGACCCGCTGGGGCCCAGAGCCGGGGTGAGAAGGTGCATTTAGGGGTACAGTAGAAGACCCCACCCACAGGTCTTCCTCCCTGGCACCCAGGACCCTCTGTGGGTGCCGACGGTCTGCGACCTTGTTTGGTCCTTAAGTCTCAGGTGCCTCACATGTAGCAGCTGGGCCCACTGCTGCGGATGTGGTCGGCCTGTGTGTGTGTGTGTGTGTGTGTGTGTGTGTGTGTGTGTGTGTCTTCCCAGGTGATGTCAATGATGAAACTGCTTTTCTGGAGAGCAGCGGGCAGGCCAGGAGGGTACACGCCTTGCACGAGGCCACCTTGGGTTCAGTTCCCAGCATCAAATATGGTCCGTAGCCCTGCGGGAGCAATCTCTGCACGCAGCAGGGAGGCGCTCAAAAACAAAACAAAACAAAAAAAAAAAGGTTTTCTAACTTGGATCTCTACTAGCCTATATTTGGGGGGTGAGATGCTTAGAGATAAGCAGCCCCTGGGGATGCGGAGTGGGTTGGGGTGAGAGGGAGGATGGGGTGTCGGCCTGGGAACCACAGGGATCCATGAGTCAGGGTCCTGGCGTTGGACATGGAATCCCCAAGCCAGGGTTCCTCAGCCCAGCCTGAGGTGGGGTCACAGCACAGTGTCACGTGCCCCAACAGCTGAATGTCTCCCCACTCGCCATGCCAGGTGGCCGTGCGGGCTCAGCAGGAAGCTACTCTCTGGGTGTCAAGGCGGGGGGCCCTTAACCCTCTCCCCACCATGTGGATACTGGTGTGGGGGGAGCTCCTGCCCTTCCTCAGTCCACTGGGCAATGCCACCGCCAGAGCAGGCTCGGGAAACACACCTTCTGCCTGCAATCTGCTGGCACCCCTTTTCCACTCCCTGCCATGCTGGGCCCGTGGCCTGGACCAGAGGGCGGACAACTGGGACGAGGGTAGCCTCCTGTCCCTGGAGCCAGGCGGATTGAGTGGCTCTGGGGGGTGGGGCTGGGATGTTGCAGAGTCCCTGAGAGGCGGTGCCTGCACCAGGACAACGCTGTGTGGAGGTTCACGGGACTTGGGGGGAGGGGCTCTTGGAGTCTCAGTGCTCTAGGGAGAGTCTCCTGGGCAGGGAGACAGTGCAGGCTCCTGATGCTCACCAGGCAGCCTGCAGGCCCTGCACGCAAGGCCCGAGTAGTACCATGTGCTTGGCGCCAACCTGAGTGCAGAGGACCCAGGCCGGCACCCAGCGATCTGAGAGAGGGAGGCGTGCCACTGGGTGTCAGGCCGAGTCCACACTGGCTCCACACCAGGTGGCCCCTGGGGAGAGTTAGTGGGCCCAGGGGGACAGAGCTGGCCCAGTCTTCATGCGGGACAAGAGAACTTTGACCTCTGAGTCCCGGGGCTCCTGGCTTGGGACCCCAGTATCTATGAAGCTCTCTGGCCCATCACATGCAAGTAGCAGAAGGACCAGACCTGAGGGGAGAGGGAAGACTGCAGCCCAGAACCTCAGCCTTTTTCAGACTCACTTTTTTCAGACCCCGGGGGTGGGAGTTCCAGTGCCTGAGGTGACATGGGGAAGCCACTGGGGCCTGAACTGGAAGGCAGGCAGATGCTTCCGGGGTTCAAGGAGGGAGGCACAGGGCCACCCCCGGGGCCTGGCCCAGCCTCTGCATGGGTAAGGGGGGCTGCAGCATGGAAACCTTGGAGAACTGGCTGGGCAGGTGGTGGCCACACCTGTGCTGGAAATGTGGGCCACTGACAGCCCTGTGCGGGACGACCCTGCTGGGCACAAGGTCCTCCGGCACCATGAGGGGCTGCGAGGGGACAGCTGTAACTCCTAGCCGCCGCCCCCCCACCCTGCACCCCTGCCCGGCCCTGCAGCCCACTCAGAAGCAGGACTGGAAGTCAGCTCCCACCCCCCTTCCCAGCCTACTGGTCCCCGAGAAGCCACCCCCCACCATCACACCCGTGCAGCCATGCCTCTCCCCACTGTCCCCTGCCCCCTCCCGACCAGCCCGCTGGGCAAGGCACCCCCAGCTCTGTGACTTTAGAGAGTGGAGGAAGCGGGGACCGTTTCAAGGTCGGGGGAGACCAGCAGTTCCAGACAGCGAAAGATATACTGAGGGCGGAGGCCGAGAAAACGGGCAAAGCTCCGGGTGGTGTGTAGAGCAGGGGGAGGGCGGGGCCCTGAAGGGAGGAGGAGTCCGTCAAGGCCAGGGTCACCTTTTTGGTTTTAGGCCATAGAGGGGTGCTGGGTGACTTGTGGGAGGGAGGAAGCAGAATGGAGGCGTGGGAGGCTTCCGGTCAGGGCGGTGGATGCAGATGGAGAGTGGCCGGGGTCGGTGTTAGGGAGCGGCTGTTCGCAGTGGGTTCAGGAAGCAGGGACGGGCACAGCAGAGCCAGAAGACACCCAGTCCCAAATCCCAGGGAGACAGGGTGGGGTTCCAGGTGGAACGGCTCAGGGGGCAGATGCCATGCACAGGCTTCTCTGCACACCCGTACCCTCTAGACAGGCCAAAGCAGGGCCTGGAGCAGGCAGGGGGAGAACGCACTGGCTTGACACGACCCAAGTTCAATCCCCAGCAACCCATACGGTCCCCTGAGAACTGCCAAGTTCAAGTCCTAAGTGCAGAGCCAGGAAGAACCCCTGAGCATGACTGGTGTGTGACCCCCTAAAAAAGTCCTTCTCGTGGGCATCAGCCTCGTTTGTGTTCTAAATAACAAGAGTCACTTCATTGTTGCGGTTTTGAAAGGATTTTAGGAACTAGGAACAGAGACCACATATTTTAGCAGACTCTGCCACTGTTCTGTCCCCACTGTTCTTCCTCGGGAAATCCCGAGGGTTTAGGGAACTGTAACCAGGAAGCAGGATCAAAGCCAAATGCTTTGGTCACCGGAATGAGCAATGCCTATTTCTGATCAATTTCTTATCCCCAGAGTAATAAGCACATGAACATTCCCCAGGAGCCTCCAACCATCCTAGCCTCAGCTGCCCCGGCCTGACCCAGAAGGAGGAAGACAGACTTTCCTGGAAAGAACGCCCTGACCACATCTCCATCCTGAGGGTCCGGGCCAAAACGCACAGTGTCTGCACGGCTTAAAAATGCAAAAAAAAAAAAAAAGCAAAAACAGTGCTGTGTGGCCCCGGTCATGGCCAGACACGCTGAGTGACCACTGCAGGACAGCTGTGTGCTGGACAAGGCACACGCAAGACCTCAATGTGCTTCCAGGTGGAGCTGGAGCGATAGTCCAGTAAGGAGGGAGATTGCCTTGCATGCGGCCGACCCACGTTCAATCCCCGGCATTCCACAGGGTCCCCAGGCACTGCCAGGAGTAAGTCCTGAATGCAGAGTCAGGAGTAACCCCTGAGTATCACTGGATGTGACCCAAAAAGAAAAAAAAAAACACCAAAATCAACAACAAAGTGCTCCCACAGAGTTCTCAGATAAAATCTCAGTGAAAAGTCACTGCCAAACCACGACCACGAGCACACTGTCAGATTAGACCCTCAGAGTTGCTGATGTTACAATTATGAGGGGTGATAAATATTTTAAAACTGTTATTGTTATTAGGGCCAGAGCAATAGCACAGCAGGTAGGGCGTTTGCCTTACACACGGCTGACCCATGTTTGATTCCCAGCATCCCATAGGGTCCCCCGAGCACCGCCAGGAGTAATTCCTGGGTGCATGAGCCAGGAGTAAGTAACCCTTGTGCATCGCTGGGTGTTACCCCAAAAAAAATCCTATTATTAGATGAATTCTCTTTCAAGGAAAAACAGAAGCTACTGAATGTATGCTGAAATAAAGAGACCATAAAACTAACCACTTGAGTGGGTAAGCTGGCTCGAGTGGCAGAGTATGTGCCTAGCGGGGAGGCCCCAAGTCCAGGCCCTGGTACCAAAAACCATCCCAGTGGAGGGGGAGGGGACTGTGGTCCTTCAGTAGTGCCAGCCCCTAAGGATGGAACTGCAAGGCCTGCACCTCCAGTGGTGAACGGCAGGGAGCCCCTTCCAGCCCCTAGCACCACAGGATGTGCTAAAACACTAAAACAAGAAGTTACACTAAGAAATACAAAGGGTTTGTTTGTTTGTTTGTTTGTTGCTTTTTGGGGTCACACCCAGCAATGCACAGTGGTTACTCCTGGCTCTGCACTCAGGAATTACTCCTGGCAGTACTCAAGGGACCATATGGGATGCTAGGAATCGAACCCGAGTCAGCCGCGTGCAAGGCAAATGCCCTACCCACTGTGATATCACTCCAGCCCCCGGAGCTTTTTTTTTTTTCCCAGTGTCCCGTATGCTTCCTATCAATGAGCTTATTGAGTTCTCACGACAATGATGTCTTCTTTTTTTTTTTTTGCTTTTGGGGTCACACCTGGTGGTGCTCAGGGGATTCTATGGGATGCTGGGGATCCAGCCCGGGTTCGCCACATGCAAAGCAAATGCCCTCCTCGCTGTCCTATTGCAGTGATGGCTACTAAAGCCCAAGGTTCTCCCTTGAACACGGAGCTCACTCATTGTCACTTTGTCTTGCCTATTTCCACCCTGCACAAGCTCTGCCCTCTCTTGAGCACGTACCTCTCTCTTGCCTCATATCTTTCTAAATCACTGTATCACAGTCCTCCCGTTGTTCATCGATTTGCTTGAGCGGGCCCAGTAACGTCTCCATTGGAGACTTTATTGTTACTGTGTTTGGCATATCAAATACGTCACGGGGAGCTTGCCAGGCTCTGCCGTGCGGGCGAGATACTCTCGGTAACTGGAATCGAACTCAGGTCAGCCATGTTGGCTGCATGCAAGGCAAACACCCTACCGCTGTGCTATCTTTCTAAATAAGTTCCAACAAAGCTATTTTGCTTCACACACACACACACACACACACACACACACACACATATATGTATATATATATGTAACAATCACTGTCACTGTCCTCCCATTGTTCTTCGATTTGCTTGAGCAGGCCCAGTAATGTCTCCATTGTGACACTTGTTACTGTGCTTGGCGTATCGAATACGTCACAGGTAGCTTGCCAGGCTTTGCTGTGTGGGCGAGATACTCTCGGTAGCTTGCTAGGCTCTCTGAGAGGGGCGGAGGAATTAGCCGGGCCGTTCCTGTGCAACGCAAACTCCCTACCGCTGTGCTATCGCATGAGCCTCAGAGATCCGTGGGGTACAGCTGAGTTTCCAGCACTGCTGGGGAAGGGGTTCCCCCCTCAACAAAAAAAGGAAAGAAGAGGGGGCTTGAGTGATAGCACAGCGGGTAGGACGTTGCCTTGCATGTGGCCGACCTGGGTTTGATTCCCAGCATCCCATATGGTACCCTGAGCACGGCCAGGAGTAATTCCTGAGTGCAGAGCCAGAAATAATCCCTGAACATCGTTGGGTGTGACCCAAAAAGAAAAAAAAAAGAGAGGAAGCTGGAGAGAATGATAGGTATGGAGGAAATCTCCAAAGATCCCTTAAAACCAAAGTCTCTGAAAACGCAAGAGTGATGCACCTCAGAAGAGGTGGAATGTGGGGAGGAAAAGGAGGGGCCAGGAGAGAGGCTCAAACAGAGCAGATCCCAGCACCCCACAAGGCTTTGAAAATAGGAACAGCTGAACCCACAGCTCACAAAAGACATGCTGGGATCCGTGAGGTGAACTGAGTCAGCACAATTATCTGCTCCCACAGAAGGACCTGCATTCCCCGAAGGATTATAACAGGACCCAGCATCCCAGAAGGATCTTAAAACTGACTAAGATATCATTTAAAATCATTTTACATACAAAGAAGCAGGAAAATCTCAATGAACCACAAAGGGGCACGGACGATACAGATGGAGGCGTTGGGAGTGACCAACCCAGCCATTTCCACCAACTCAAGGCAATAGCCACGAAAGGAACAGGAACGCAGATTCTTGGCAGGCAATAAAATCCACAGAAAAGAGCTAAATGGTAATTTTAAGCAGACACAGATGCTAACTGAAGCAAAAAGTTAACTGGAAAAGTTCAGTAGCTTGGCAGAGGAGAAGAGACGGTGATTTAAAAACCAGGATCAAAAGAAATTATCCAACTAGAAGAGTCAGTAAATATAGGATTTTTTGGGTGTTTGGTTTCGGGGCCACATCTGACCATACTCAGACTTACTCCTGGCTCTGTGCTTAGGGATCACTCCTGGATCAAGGGGCCATATGGGGTGTCGGAGATTGAACCCAGGCTGGTCACATGCAAGGCAAGTGCCCTCCCTCGCTCTAAACTCTGGTGATAAATGGAACAGTAGTAATGGTCTAACATATTTGTCATTGGAGTTCTGGAAAAGAAATAGGAAATAATGATGCAGAAGGAAATAATGAACAAAACATCTCAAACGTGGTGGAAGACATACATTTAAGGATCTGAGTAAAAACCCAATAGAAAATTATATTCAGGGCTGGAGAGATAGTACAGTGGGGGACTTGGCAGCCCAGATAGTCATCCGAGTCCCACCAGGAAACATCCTGAACACACAGCCAGGAGTCAGCCCTGAGCACTGCTGGGTATGACACAAAACCTATGATGAAAAGAAAAGGAAAAAGAAAAAGAAAAAGAAACTATATCCAAACAAATTGCAAACTATTGAAGACTAGAATACAAAAAGTAAATCTTGAGGGACTGGCCCCTCAAAAGGCTGAGTGCATGCACTGTATGCTGGAGGCCTGGGTTCAACCCCCAACACCACGTGATCCCCCAGCACCGTCAGAAGAGTCCCCTGAGCACTAAGCCTGGAGTGGCTCCTGGGCACCATAGGGTATGAGGAGGAAGATTTTGAGGAAGGAAGAAGTGATCCTGAAAGCAGTCAGAGAGTAACAAGGCACTACAA